CCCCCCCCCCCCCCCCCCCCCCCCCCCCCCCCCGGGTCAAGCTTGTCCAGTCGCAGACAGTTCCAGACCCTTTTTCCCCATTCCTCCTCGTCATCCACAAAGAAGGTCAACCACGGTCGACAGACACAACACAGTCGCGGGTCGCGGATTCTTTCCCAATTCCTTCTCCCAACTACACTACCACCGCCATAACCACTTGTTGTCGTCCATCGCGCGTGCCGACTGAGTCAAGCGGACAAGTCATAACATAACACAACACAGGCCTTCTCCAACTGAAGTACAAAGTGGAAGTACTTCAGATTCTCCAAGGTTCACACCCACTTTTTTTTTCCGGCATCGAACTGAACCTTGCAGGACGGGAGCTCGAACCTTGACCCGGCAACCTCGCGCCCGCGCCTGCGCCCGCGTTTCTCCTCGCACGACAAAGCCGAAGCCAACCACGTCACCTCAACCATTTTCAGGTTTAGGCCGCTCTCCAACGTCGTCGCCGTCGCCCAACTCGAAAACCTTGACAACACCAGACTTGTCGTCTCTGCTTAGAGGAGAGGTAGCGCAACCTGAGGCGCATCTTTCATCCGTCGTTTCTTAACGCGACCCCACCCTTCTTCTCTTTTGTCGCATCTTCGCCATCGTCGTCGCAAGTCATCACCAACCTTCGCGCCACCAACTACCGGCACTTCACGACATCGCCACCCTAGCCGAAGCGCAGCGCTCCTAGCTCGTTAGACCTTTGCTCTTCTACTACACTCACATTACTCAACAATGGCCTCCTCGCGCAAGAGACCAAGGGCGTCCGATGCCGACCGCCAGGACAGGGTGCAGGAACGGAAGGAGGATAAGGATAACACCCGAGCCGAATGCCCATTCCAAGTCCACATTGTCGACCCCGTGGTGGCAGAGAAGAAGAAGAACAAGAAGCGCAGACGCACGGTCGGAGGCAAGGCCGAGTCGATCGACGACGAGGACACCGACCCAGCGGATAAGATCCACTCTCAGCCGTCTCCCTTTCATCCGTCGGGCAAGTTCAAGACGTACCCGAACATGGATGTACACTACAAGGTCGAGCCGGCCAAGGATTGGACCGACATGACGAGGTACAACAGCTTTGTGTGTGAGTTTGGCCTTTGTTCCCTCTTCTCTCGCAGAAACTTCCGGTTTACTAACTACGATAAATCTACTAGTGAATAATGTTAAATACTATGCAGAGAACTTCATCTATGTCGCCAATGACCTGAGCATAAAGAAAAAGGACCCAAAACAAGGGGAAAAGGGACCGAACGACGAGGCAACGGCCCCGATACAAAGGCGGGACACCGAGTGGGTCGCCAGGATTCTCGAAATCCGCGCTAGGGACGAGCACCACGTCTTCGCCAGAGTTTACTGGATGTACTGGCCTGACGAGCTGCCGGCCAAGACGCGAGATAGGAAAAGGATTGTGGAGGGGAGACAGCCGTATCACGGGACGGGCGAGCTGATAGCGTCTAATCACAGTGAGTGGGCCACAAGCGGTTTGGGTTGAGTTATGAATTGTGTGTCTGTGCTAACATTGGGGGCAGTGGATATCATCAATGTGGTCAGCGTTACCGAGCCCGCGATTGTAAAGCACTGGTTTGAGGAGAACGACGAGGAGACGCAGGATAGTCTGTACTGGCGACAGGCCTATGATGTGCGATCTCAGGAACTCTCGGTACGCGCTATCACATTCACCTTACCCGTTCCATGCATAGATGCTGACAAGGATTTTATCATAGACCGTCGAACTCGTATGCGGCTGCAACACCCCAGCGAACCCTGACAAACTGCTAGTCGGCTGCTCTTCAGAATCATGTAAGAAATGGTTACACGAAGAATGCATCAAGGACCAAGCCTTAAGGGCAACCTACGAGCGACTTGGCACCGACAAGCCTCACATCCCAGTAAAGGAGGAGAAGGTGGACAAGAAAGAGGAGGACGAGGACGACCAGAAAGAGGAAAGCAAAGCCAAGACGGAAGCAAACGGCGACACGCAGCAGCAGCAGCAGGAACGAGGAGAATCCGTGGACGTCAAAGCCGAGAAGGACACTACGCGAACCACCAACGGTAGCAACAACAGCAACGGCAACCGCGCCCTCAAAGCCGACAGCGAAGATGATGCCAAACCAGCGCCTTCCGAAGACACGCCCGACGCCGAAGCCGCAGAGGACGAGTCGACCGCCTCCGGACTAGCATTACGTTCAAGAAGAACAAGGACAGCAAGCGCAAAGGCATCCAGAACTACCACTCCAGCACCAGGATCAACGACGACGACAACAACAACAATAATAAAATCAGAAGAAGGGCGAAAGAAACCCGGCCGACCCCGCAAAAAGGCTTTAGTTCCCCCTCCTCCTCCTCCTCCTCCCGGAGGAGCCAGAGCTAAAGTGACCAACAAGGAAAGACCATGGGAAGGATTATTTGCTGTCACGCTCGAAATGAACGGGACGCCGTACCTGGAGTTTACGGATCTTCGTGCGGATGTGGTGGCGAGGGGCGGAGCGAAGACGTGGACGGAACCGATTACGTGTTTGGTGTGTGGTGTGTTGGTTAATTAGTAGCATGAGGTACGGACGGTGGTCGTTTTCGTGGTTTTGGTTGTCCTTGTCCGACTTTGAGACGTGGAGGCATGGAGGTACGGAGGCATGAGGATTGACCGGGTTGATGCGGTTCTGATGGGAAAGGAGATGAAGCTGGGTTTGTGTCGGGTTGGGTTTGATGGGGGAGGTTGAGGTCCTTGAGGATTACTACCTTCCAAGCATGGAACCTAGAGATGGGCGGGAGAGGATGTGGGTGTGAGCGGGAGGACACACTGCCCTGGTTTGTGCTCGAGTTGGTTGGCATGAAGTCAAGGCAGAGAGGTTGGAATGGGGATGGGGAAATGGATTCCACGAGCGATCTAACCGGTGCTGAAACTATTGCTCACATGACACGACACAACAATAGAACGATATTTGCTACTACACATACGTTTTTGCTGCGGGATACCTACCTAGTGCTTGAATGGGATGGAGGAAGAGGAGCGGCCTCGTTGGACGATGGAATGGAGGAGGAGCAAGATGGAAGAGGCTGAAAGAGGCTGAAAGAGGCTGAAGGAGGCTGAAAGACAGGGAGGGACGAGTTGCTTCAGGATGTAGATACCTACCTACCTACCAGCTAGCTAGCGGAATAAGGATGATGGAAGCGAGTATACCTTTTTTGAAACCTTCTTCTTGGGTACCTTGGTACTTATAATAAGTCTACGGCTTGAGTGGTGAATGATGTGAGGGTCAAGTGGTGGTGACTTCGAGCACTCGAAGACAAGAGAAAGCGAAAATTTAAGATCCAAATCCGTAGATCGAAAGAGGGTAAGAATTGAGAAGGATGAGAAGTGAAAAAGAAGAATGAGAGGGATGATCAGAAAGGAGGGAAATGTGCTAAATAAATGCTGCTAGGTGCTCATCATGTTAATGCCTCTTTAGCTCTACCTCGCTGCTATGTAACTACTAAATACAACACATTACTCACTACTTGTAAGATACCTACTGTTAGTTCCTGGTGTACACCCCTCTATCTTGGAGAGTTGAAGTTTACAAAGGTAGGCAGTGTGCTATCATTTTTCCCTATCGTTACTAATGCCACTCCAGACTTCTGTAAGTATTCCTTGCATGTACCTACCTACCTTACCTAGAGGTATAATTAGTGATTTGCTAATAAGTAATTGAAACGTGCTGTTGGTTGCATTCGCGAATAACTGGGGTAACTTCAGGTGAAACATTGTGCAATGGTGTAAGTTGGACCGCTGCTGAGTTTTCACTCAAGATTGAGATTTGTCAGATGCGGATGACTAGCAAGAGCCTCCGGCTGGGAGGTTCCTTTGTTGCCTCCTGGCGTTTTGCGTGGTCTGGATTCTGGTTAATAGGAAGGAAGGCATATCTGCGCAATTGGAATAGGGGGGTCAACTTGTCAAGTAGAGGTAGGTAATTGGAAGGAAGGAAGGAAGGAAGGAAGGAGTGGAGAAGAGATAGGAGGTTAAGAAAGGAAGGAAGGAAGGAATAAAGAAGAGACGGGAGGTTACCTAGGTATGCAGAAAGGAAGCAGTTACACTTGTTTGGTTAGCTTGGAGAGTGCCGTTGACCTTTTGAGAGATATGATGGAAGGTAGTACCTTATATTTCAGAATCGACACTTCCCCTGCCAGGAAAAAAAAGAAGAGGGGGGGTGGGGGGTACCTCCAAACAACAAGCGCTTTTAGGTTCAGGTTCCTCTTCCAGAGCAAAGGAACACGACTTAACTAGAGGTACCACCTGTACCTCTACCTACCTACCGCAGCGGGAATATAGGGAGCGTAACAGGGCTTGTTGAAGTCAACAGGCCTTGTTGTATATTAAGGCCCAATTTCTATAACAAGGCCTATTGACTTAACAAGCTTTGTTGAGCTGAGGGAGGCTTCTGATTAGTCGGATTTGAGTACAAGATAGCAAAAGCTAAAGACCCCTATAATAATCTTCTAGTGGCTATTATAGAGGTCTTTATTTAGTGGTCATTATAGTAGTCTTTTAGGGAGGGGAGGGGAGGGGGGGGGGTGGACTTTGACTTTAAAGTCCGGATGCCCGCGTAAAACTTTTCGCGCGAAAAAAAGCTGACTCCAATTGGAATTGAACTGAGAGTCTTGAGAAAGAAAGTAACGATAAGAACCATTGAGCTACTGGCCCATTAATTAAAATAAAAATTGGATTTTTCTTATTATATAGGGTGAAATCTTTTGTCCTTGGGGGGCGGGGGGGGGGATTTTAGTGGCCGTCTTTAGGGGACATCTGAACTGTAAATTGATCGACCAATCAGGAGCCTCCCTCAGCTCAACAGGGCTTGTTAAAACAATAGGGCCTGTAAAAACAACAAGGCTTCAAAGCCGTAGTAAGCTTAACATGGCTTGTCCCCTAGCATATTTTCCCGCTACGGTAATTTAAGGGCACAAAGCAGCCTTGACAGACCAAGACTGGACCTCTTAGTCAAAGCCTAGGGGGACCTACGAGGAGCTCCATCTTCCTCTCGATACCTAGGTACGTACCTACCTAATCTCTTCAGTGAGTTCAGTGTCTTGATCTCTTTGTACATGTCCTTAAGGTTTACCTCGACCCTCCATCGCTTCTTTTCTGGGCGAGCTCGTTGGCGCTCTCGACACGCACGCCGCTTGATCTCAGCCCTGCCGGAATTCCCCAACGCGCACTTGACTTCGCAAATCTTTCGATAAGGGATTTGGCATGTTTCGCCATGTTGTCTACCTAATTGAGCGAATGAGGTCCCCGAATACATCCAGGGGCTGGTTGCCAATGATGGAATCTTTTGAGACCTAGGTATTACCGTGGTGCAGACTACCTTACCTTGCCAGGAAGCGCAGAGGCCCTTTGATGCAAACACTTTACTTTCACTTTCAAAGTTTTGACTCTCGGCTGTGGTCCCATTGAGGCTTGATTTCTTGTTCACTTCTCAGTGCTAACGGATAGAGGTAGACATCGCACATCAACCGTGTTCAAAAATGGAACGTAATTTCTTGAGGGAAGTTACCTAGGTAGGTATTGGTGTTTGGTAGGTAGAGGTAAGCGCCGCTTCTTGGGGCTACAACTCAAGAAGGACTTGAGTGGTTCGACTACGCCCTTTCTTGCATGTCCTTTGTATTTGACCATCAACAACTTCTCTTCTGAGACTCGCAGGTTACAAGCTTTTCCGAGGACATTGAAGGTTCTCCTGCTTTGGAAGACGGGCAGGGACTCGGCTGGGGCTATCGTGTCGCCTCCCTTCTTGTCCATATGCATTCTTCCAACTTCATGCAACCATGAATGACCACCCGTTGACTTTTGCAATGGATCGAGATCTCTTCACCAAAAGCTTTCCTGCTCTGCGTAATACGAGAACGGCCGTTGTCCTACTCCCTGTTTGGCTACAGGTAGGTAGGTACCTAGTCTTACGCTCAGCCATCGACGACTTTCTGGCCAGGAACCCTGTTTTTTTTGCGGGACGGGGCGGAAATAAATATAAATAGGGAAATGAAGCGGAGAAGTAGGGATTTAACTAGGTACCATGAGACCACTGCCGACCATCAACACCTTCGCTTTATATCCCCAGATGGTTCTCCGTCAGACATTTCTTCGAGCGAGCTCATTCCTCAATGGCAGAGAAGTTCCGACTGTCAACAGCCGCATAAGCTGGCGGCGGAGAAGTGCTCCTAACAGGGGCAGTCTTGCGTTCAATGTTCCGAAAGAAGTAGCCTTGGACCTTGTAGTTTGGGTCGGACAGTCCAATTTCTTGAGTAGTTCTGTGTATGAATTTCAAGTCCTCGTCCGGTTGCTCTGGGATCGCGGGGAGTTTCGGGCCAGGCTTACATGGTCCAAATTGTGGTAGCCAGCATGCTCCGGGTATCCCGTCTGAACCAGGATTGCATTGTTGTTGCTGCTGCCAGAGGAGGCCGAGTACAACGTTGAGTTCCTGTACCAGGAGACCTGCTTCCATGAACTTGATCACGGCCAGAGTCCTCTAACTTCCCTCTTCAACCATTGCGATATCCCAAGTTAGCATGGCACGGCGTTTGTCGGCAATTTTGTTGATGGCGGTACGCTACCAAAGCGTCAGCAGAGAAGCAATCTCTTGAAACTACGCTACCTTAGACAGAAACGCCCGCGCAGCCATGGACTTACAGCCTCGGTGGTTCTCTTCTTTGCGCCGGCGAGCGACTTCTCGGAGACCATAGCCTCATGCGCGGTAATGAAGCACTGCATGAGATTCTTGGTCCCGCTCCTAAAATTGGGCTACCCAACGGATCATGGAGACCACATCGGCTCCGCTGCCATCCATCAGGACAACACGCATCAGCATTATCTGGTAGTAGAGCTCAACATGGTCTTGATGACTGCTTGCACCTCACTTGGCCATTTTCATCCCAAGTGGGTCAACTTCACTCGATAACTAGGTAGCCATGTTTCAATGGAAAGTTGATCAGTTCTTCCCAGATGGACGGCTAACTCGAAATTTCCTTGCCATAGCAGCCTCGACCTCCTGTCGTTCAGCAACGAGCACGATCAAGCAACTTCAAGCGACGAAGGCTGCGGTGACCAGGAGAGAAATTCAAAGAAGGAGGACCAACAAGCAATCTTCAAGGCCACAGTTGCGTTCGAGGCAACTCGGTCAACGAAGCATACCTATATTGATGTACCAGCGACGCTCCCTATATCACGCTGTACGCTTGCTTGTCAATGAGCGTGGCCGATCATAGGTAGTCGTCCAGCATCATGTGCTTGCGGCATGGCCTCGGTTTTTAACAAAATTTGCTTTGCCATCGCCTTCTTCTCCATGAGTGTCGCATGGCTTCCATTTTCCCCTTTGCAGGCCAAAGTCGCATTTGCTGCCAAAAGAAATTCAGACTGGACAGTTCAACTCCACCGAAAGAACAACAAAGGGTAACCACACGCGACAGTCCAGCGCCTAGGAGAGGAGCACGCCGCCAAACCAACGCCCTCAACACCTTATTCAAGTAAAGGAACGATGCAGCGACACGTAAAAGACCATCACGCTGAAGCCATTGCGGCGGCGGAAAACGCACAGACCTCATTTGCGTGCGATGTTTGCCCGGGCCTCACTTGGGACACAAAAAAGGAACATGAATTGGACGCGCATTGTCAATGTCTTCGAATACACTACTCCTTCACCAGCAGGGGCAGCCACCACGGCAGCAACCACCGCAACACCGACAGCAGCCGACAAACTCTACGCAATGGATCAAAGAAATTGAGAGAGTGGGTCGAGCATGTACAGGAAGGTTGGTCGCGGATGGATAGGTATGCAACAAGCCAGGAGATTCGGAGAGATATAGGGAGAAGGCCGGAGATCCGCGACATTACCACCGTATCAATAGATGTGATCTGGGCATGGGTCGAAGAAATGGGGATACAATTGGGGGATGGATGTGAATCGGGTGAACAGAGAGAGAAGGCGGCGCGATTGGTGTACACTTACCGGGACGTGTTTGCAGTGGAACTGGCTGACATCAAGACAACAGACCTCATCCAACACACGATGGTAATGTCGCGGATCTCCGGCCTTCTCCCTACATCTCTCCGAATCTCCTAGCTTGTTATATACCTATCCATCCGCGACCAACCTTCCTGCACATGCCCGACCCACTCTCTCAAAATGTCTAGACTGCAGGTGCCCAAGCAATCTCTACAGCAACATGAAAATATCATTTTACTCGTGTAAATCAACGTTGTTCAAACGCCTCGGAAAGATGGAATAGTACCTCTGATGGGGACGGGAGGTATTGGCACAGGAATATTGACATTGTCCAACCAGTGGTATACGGTACAACTGGTATCTGATAGTCTATGTGTGGGAGATCATGGAAAATCTGTGCAAAGTTCGGATGGAAGTCAGCTTGGCATGGCGTAAGTGATCCAGTATTTCCATGAGACGGCGATTTCGACGTGATTATTTCACCGGATGACACTTGCGATATCCACCAGGACAGAATATACTAGATCATCACGCTCACTGTTGTTCCTCATTGGGGAGATAGGTTGATCAAAGGGCAAGAGTCCGGCTCAAAGCCAAAACACGGGTTTAGGACCAGCAGTGATCATTCGATGATACCTATCTCTGCAAGTAGAGGTAGGGATATTGCCCCAGTTGTGTTCTCCGAACGGCTTTGATGCCGGCCGGGACGTCCAGTCTGCTTTGTGGACGATTGCCAGAATGTATGGTACACCTCCGGCTACATCAGCCGTTAGAATGTACACCCAACCTACTTGCTACGATTGCTTCCAATCGCTATCCTCACAAGCAGCACTCTGCAACGGTCTTGGTCCTTCTTGGCTTGACCGGCACGGGAGTAACATGAAGTACTACCTCTACGTAAGATTAGTTCCAGCAAGGAGGACCGCAAGGTCGCCCTGAACATGGCACTCATCAGATTGGCTCAATTCGTTGCACAGGACATACATGGCCTAAGCATGCTCATGTCCGACACCATCCTAGCCAACCAACCGCTTCGACGCCCGTAGGGAGGGCGACTCGGCCTGTGAAGGGGAGCGGCCCCGCTTGCTAGTCTCCCCAACACGGAAAGGCGGAGGAGGAGTGAGATCGTCGGCTGGGTCAATAAATGGCCGGCTTTTATAAGCCTCTCCAATCTATTTATACAAGGCAACAGTATGTCTTGCCGCCGGTGTCCGTAGCAGTTTGCCCTGCTTGCCCATGAGGAGCTGCATCTTCTCCTCTATAATTTCCTCCGTAAGCTCAGCCTTATTTTCGTGATCTTTAAAGGCGACTTCCACATTCCACTTGTTCTGTTTCGCAATCTTATTGGCCTTCTCGATACGTCGCTTGATTTCTGCTTTCGAGTCCCTAACCGCACACTTTGTAAACCGCTCAATGAGCGACTTGGCTTCTATCGCTATACTATCTACCTAGGTATTCGAATACCTCATTGTAGGTGGTTAAGTCCATGTTATGGTCGATAAAGTAGGGACTGACGAGGGGAAGGTAATTGTCCAGCAATAGCTCTCACTCTTCCGCTCCAGGATCTCGAATTGCTGTGAGACCCTCGTTCCATCGACCATCGTTGACCACATCCAGGCTGCGTTCCAAAAAACGCCGTGCGATATCCCAAGCGCAGGCTCCCCGCCGTCCCGATTTCGAGGCGCCGGTGGAGGCACATCGCTACTGGCGCGATGCTGAGCGTTTGCGCCTGGTGGAGGGTGATGTCGGTTACGACAACTAGGCCCACGCCAGGGTTCGGTACTGCTCTGCCATCAAAGCGGAGGTGTCCCGTGCGATTGGCGAGCTTATCGGTTCTTTTCAGAAGCCGTGACTAAACTCTCTGTTGCTCATCACCGTCTTATTGGCAGAGACCTGGGAGCGAAAATTAGAAGTGCCTCTCTGAGAAGTGGACATGATCGCGGCAATCTGGATCATGTCGAGAAAGGTAGTAGTACCATTCTAGTATAGAGGTATGGCGTGATGGCATGGCAGCTGCAATCATGGAAGGCAGGTGACTTGAGTCAAGATGTTAAAAACATATTTGGATGACCTTCAACTCACCAACAAGTAGATTATGGTTCCACGCCCTCCCTTTCATTATCAGAGGTAGTGTTGCTCCTCCTCGATCTCGTAAGGGTTTGGAGTTTTGTTGCCAGACTCGATCAACAGATGCGACATGATAATGCCGGGAACAAATCAACCGACTTTGCATGACGAGTTCATGAGGACACTTCGCCTTTCTTCATCGGTCGGGGGTTTTGGAACAACCGACGGCCCAAAATCACAGCCACCGCATGCCTTCCAACTTCTTTCCAAGTTTGTAGGACCAAGATGAACGCACCAGGCAGCATTCATGCATGCAAAATGTCATTCCGCAAACTTCCCCATAGCAACCCAAATTGAGAGAACACGAGTACCAAATTGAGCAGGTTGTATTGAAAATAGACGGAGAAGCAGAGACGGATGAAGCCACATTGGATGGAAGCATTACGCTTGTTCTCCTCCTCATCCACTCGTCCGCCTGATTGTAATCGTGGCCAGAACAAACAGGCGGCTCGATATTTCTTAGTCCTGTGCTCACATTGGAGGTGCCGTAAAGTACGGTACATAAAGTGGGAGCGTGACCGGGTGTGCATCTACACTTGCAGAGTGTGTGAACAACAAACGAAACGTGATGCAAAGCTCACATGCCGAAGGGCAAACTGCATTTGTTTCTCTCATATCCTGACTTAGCGACAGACCAAGCCGTAGACCGAGCCGAAGCCCGAGCTGCGTACTCAATCTGCAGTACCAGATGGTACCAGAAAAGAGGAGAACATGAACAGGTAAGCAGGGCACAGACAACTCCATCATAGGTAGGTATAAAAAGGTGGCTACCACCCATTCCCCAAATTTTCGTGCTCTCCTCTTTCCTTCAACTCAGACACATCCACCACTCACCCAAGAGCTCTTGCCTCCGTCACTCCAAAATCAGCTTGACAGCCTTTGAAAATGCAAACAGGGCTCCAAACCTCCACGTGGCCCAGGCCAGTAAGCATGACTTGCTTTTGCACATCAAGCTGGCCAGCCGAAAATGGTTCGACCTCATTCTCGACCACTCGATAGACTCGCGGCGAGAAAAAACTGAGTCGACATGGACACAGGCGAGACAACAAGTTTTTGCCCCTTTGGGCTTCTTCTCGTCGCTCTCGACAACTCATCATGCCTGCCTGACCTGATCACTGCTCCGAAAACTCAACAAAGTGAGTACCATGCAATCGCAGAAAACGACGTGTCGCTTTGTACTAATGAAGCCGTACGTTATAGAGCCCGCCGAGCAGTCTAGTAGACGCCATCTGCAAATGTCAATCACGAGCTGCTGCCACAATCCAAGCCTCGAGGCCACCTCTATTTTAGGTACCACCGTACCAGTTGAACATGAGGTAATTGCCCCGCGTCGCTCCAACCTGATAGCCATAATGATAGCCATAACTCTGATCGGTATCCAGAGGACAGGGTGGGTTAGTCGATCCTAAGCCATAGGGACCTAGATTCCGTTTCAAAGGGGCGCTTGTTCCCTGTGTAGCGAAAGGGAAGCCGCCCGGTTAACATTCCGGCACCTGGATATGTATGGGTTTTGCACGGCAACGCAACTGAACGCGGAGACGACATACGGCGGGGGCTCGACCGGCCGGCCGACCAACACCACAAGTCTGTTATATCCAGTACAACAGCCGATGCTACCTCGAAAGTACCCGAGTTCCTCAATTTAGGGGACTCAATGGGAGATACCTGGACAGAACGTTCGAAACCACCCGAATTCCTCAATTTACAGCAGCCCAATGAGAGATACCATGGATTTCCAGGGCACAGAACGTTCGAAACTACCCACGGTCCTCCCGAATTCCTCAATTTACAGCAAGGGTCGGCGTGGTGGTCCTGAAGGACGTTGGGATTGATGGGAACTATCACCGAATACGACCAAATCATTCGAAGCCATCTCACGCCGCTGTGTTGGGAGTATCGAGCTGCGTGTAGCCGTGGGCGTGTTTCTGAGGGGTAGTGCGCGGATGGATTGGTTATGGGAGATGGGATTGAAAGGAGCCTGGTTCGGGGCGGGAGTTGGGTGTTGGGGGGAAGTACTAGGCGGGGCACTTTTGGGTAAGGGGATATTGATCCCGTTTTGTTGGTAGACAATGGAGGTGTCATTGTTAGTCAACGGGTGAATGATGGTAGGGTTGTTGGGATAGGGAAATACATGTCTGCGGGTTGAATGAGTCTGCTGTGAAAGACGGGAGTGAAAAAGTGGATGGGACATGTTCAATAGTCGACGTGAATGGAATAAGTAACTGGACGCTTTGTTCATTCCATCTTTCGCCTGCTTGAATGGTGAACAATACCGCGCGATCGTTGCAAACATGTTCAATTTATATCCAATTATGTCCACCTCTGTATTAGATTAGAGCTTGGAAGAAGGTCCAGAAGCCTCAAATTCGACCTTGTTCTTGCAAGTGCCAACCTTCTCGAGCTCCACCTCGACAACATCACCATTCTTGAGCCAAAGCTGGGGCTTGCGGCCCATACCGACACCCTGAGGACTGTTTGTTATACGTCAGCATTTCTCTCGTCATCTCTCCTCACAGTCATATCCCCAAAGGGGAAGAAGAAATAGGCACTCACGTTCCAGTCCAGATGACATCACCCGGCAACAGTGTCGTCCCCCGGCTCAAAAAGGCAATCGTCTTCTTGACCGAGAAGATCATATCCGCCGTGCTGCTCTCCTGCACCTTCTTCCCGTTCAACTTTGTGCTAATCTTGAGCGTCTGCGGATCCTTAATCAAGTCCTTGCTAACGATACCCGGACCAAACGGCGCCCACCCATCGAACCCCTTTCCGAGAGACCACTGCCCACCACCGCGCTTAATCTGCCAATCCCGATGGCTGACGTCGTTACCGACGGCATAACCCAAGACATAATCGAGTGCCTGGTCCTCTGACACGTCGCGACAGCGCTTGCCAATGATAGCGACCAGCTCACACTCGTAATCCAGGCCTTCGCCCTCCTGCGCCATGCGGGAGATGGGGATGGGGTCCGTGGGGCCCGAGAGCGAGGTGACGGGCTTGTAAAAGAGGACGGGGTAGGTGGGGATGGGCATGTTGGCTTCGCGGGCGTGTTGCTCGTAGTTGAGACCCAGGAAGCGGACGGTACGGACGTCCTCCGGGGCCAAGGGGGAAAGCAGCAGGCGGATGTCGGCCACTTGGTCGGTTACGGTGTATGAGCCAAAGATGTCGCCGGTGATGAGGCGGGCTTGCTTGGCGGCCCGGATGTCGGAGACGCCCTGGGGGAGGATGGCGTCACCGTAGTAGGTGCGGCCGTCGCGGGCGAGGAAGCGGACGAGGCGCTGTGGTGTGGATGTTAGTTTGACATCTGGTTGTGGTTGAGATGAGACAACTTGCAGTGAAGGAGGCCATTGTGACTGATGTGGAGGTGAGCACGGTGTTGTGAAAAGAGAGTGAAGTGTTGAATGAGAAGTGAAAGTGACAATGATGGCATTTATAATCCAGCTGGAGATACTGAGACCGACGTTATCCCCGGAGTGGATGCATTGATCTGCGGGTATCGGCGGCGGGGAGCAGCGGTACTTCCATCCGTCAACCGCCGGTTCACGGCTCGCTGGCTGTTAGTGGCTACCCCACTCTACAACCTGAAACGCGTGTAAGAGGAAGTCGACAGCATCATGAGTCGACAACGCTTCGGGTAAAGAAAAACGACCAGAACCTCAGCAATGTTTGCCTGGCATTCCATTTTAATGTCAGCGTCTGTTATCATAAGAATTACGCCCTCTGAAAATAAAGATATGCCGGGGCCCGGAACCCCTCTCCACGTTAGCGCTCGGCCCCCCGGGGTAAGCTCTGCCGAGGTCTCCAGTTGGTGTCCATTAGCACCCGTAGTACTAACAATTAATCTAGCTGGTGATGCCGTGCCAAGCTGTCCGCCAATCCCGTGTCTTTGCGTCATAACAATTTTCAATATTCACCACCACCACCACCGACGCCACCAATCTTCACCCTCTCAACTGTAGCAGTCCCTCCTTTAACCAGCTGGGTCTTGACCTTTGTACTAATTTAAAGACAACAGCATCACTATGGCCCGCTTGTCTGGTCTGCAAAAGGAGGTCCTCGGACTCTACCGCAAGTGTCTGCGCGAGTGCCGCAAAAAGCCGGAAGCCACCCGGGCTCACTTCAAGGCCTTTGCTAGGTGAGGTTAGACACTCGTCTCGGACGACATGACGCTAATCCGGATGTAGAACCGAGTTTGAAAAGAACATCAAGGTCGACAAGAGAGACTTTTCCGCCATCGAGTTCCTCCTACGCAAGGGGTCGCGCCAGCTGGAAATGTACGCTTCGCCCGGAGTCAAGGATATCAGATAGCAACCGACCGAGGGAAGCTTCACTTTGTCACTCTTCATCATCACTCCTTCTCCTACCGCTGGCGGCTCCTTATATTTAATCCCACTTGGTTCTTTCTCTCCGTCCCCTCCATGGTCTCAACTGAGTGGCATGACTGGCCCCTTCTGTCCTCAGCCTTCCCCTCTTGAACCAATATCTCCTGGCTGTCTCCGTGTTCACTCTCCCAAATCCAGTCCAACAATAACAACAACAACATCCGCACATCATCTGTCAGTCATTTTCAGCAAACCTACCCACGGCTTTGAACAATTCCCTCTTGGATCTGCCCCTCTTGGATTATAATGGCCCGACAATGCCTGCATACAACTTAGCTTAGAAAGGAAGTCCGCACCGTCGGCCAAAGATTAACACCGCCTCTCCCTCCCGCAGTCCCAGTGTCGCCCGCCGCGCAGCCGACGAAGTCTTTCGCAAACCCCTCAGTCTGTCCCTCCAAAAACTCCGTCGAGCTCAGGCCAAGCGGCACGCCATCAAAGTCCGTGTCTCGTCTGTCCGCTCCAACGGGAGCCAGAACCGTCTTTCTTCGGGGTCCTCGAGAAAAAGGTCTTCGCATCAGCGCAGCAAGCCTAGCCCTCCCAAGCGTGGGAATGGCGGTGCTATACCGGTGATATGGCAGGATATCGACTACAAAGGAGGTCCGAGACATCTGGACAAGAGTCACGGTTCGTATTCCAAGGTTACGCCCTATGATGCCTCCTCTTCGCAGGAAGATCAACACTGTTGCCTAGGAAGCCCGTCCAAGAAAGATTCGGAGAAACCACCCGGAGCGTACTGGGGAGAGCTTCCGAAATCATCTGTGAAATCACCGCCCAAGGTCCCCAAGCCGCCAGCCAAAGAGCCACTGTTACACATCAGCAGAGATAAGCGATCCGTCATCAAGTTGCGACCCCTTCCTCCCCCGCCTGAAGGTCCGAGTGCTCCGATGCCGAAGCCGAGACCAAGTCCAGGTACACCAACTCCAAGAGGAAAAGCTCCCGTGAGACCGGGGGCATCACAACTGCGCAAGCTTCCACTGCATCCTCAGACGTGGGTCCCTCCCGAGACCTGGGGCCCCACTAACAGACGGCTCAAACCTCACAAGAAAGGCTCTGGTAGTAAGGACCGCGTCCACGCATCATCATCCAACAGCCGCCATATTGTATCCCGCTTCTGCAACCGTCGGCAAGCGTTGAATAGGTCAAAAGAGTCCCGAGAGGCACAATCGAAGGGCGGTGCTAGCAAGATTCCAGATTCTCCTGCTGATGTCGGTGCGACGCATGAATCCATCCGCACAGTGAATGAGCTTCTCCCCTACCGAGACCAATTCCGAGAAGCCGGGCTTGCAGTGACATCCAAGGAGCAAAGGGCATACCACCGGAGAGGCAAACTCGCACCTTTGCTTGGGAAGATGTCACCACCAGGAAGTGAATGGCTGAGACTAGACGGGGGTACCGAGACTAAGGAGCTCAACAACAATAAGAAAGATGACTCTCCCTCTCCTATCAATGTTGAACAGATATCACAGAAGAGCGGAGAAGACAAGCTTTCCAACGCGTCGTTATCACCAGCACCCCATTCAACAACAACGCCAGAAGCAGTATTTTCAAACGGCGAAGCATCATCCCCAGAGCGCCAGCCTCCTTCGATCCCCGATGAAGAGAAGAAAGGAAACACCCTACCAACAACCAACCCACCACCTGCACCAAAAGTCCAGGGCATTTCAAACTCCAACAAATCCCTCCCTGCCCTTCCTCGCGTCTTTTCCCAAGTCCTAGTCCGACACGGAAGTGGTCTCTCGCGCAACTCCAGCTGGAGCGCAGCCATGCCCCAATTCCCGCCTACCATCGTGGAACAAAAGGAGCCATCACCAGACAAACAACAGCAACAAAAAGTCATTAACCATGGTCGTCAACAAAACACCACCACCACCACCACCACCCCTTCCATCCAGTCCGCCACCACCACCACCAGTTACGGAACAGCCATCATAATCCAGCCAGCAGCAAAGAGTTACGGCCAATTACTGATACGCAATACCAAACGAAACAGCGTTAGCGAAGCCACTGTTATCGCCAAAACTCCCCATCCCAGTATCGTATCAAGCATAGAGGTGTCGGAGAGTGTCAGAACCGGCACGCTTTCATGCTTAGATCAAGCTCTTGATGAAGCCGTGCGACGGATGCAAGCTATGGGGGAGACTGTAGCTACTCCTTCTAAGTCTAGTACAAGCAAGTCATCGCCGAAATCGAAATCGAAACCAAACAAAGTAACGGGGAAACATCAACGATCCACGAGCAGCAAAACTGCGCCGTCTCCGTCGCAGAGATTGCAAAAGGCCGCGGCGTTGAGGAGGCAGAAGATTGTGCTGAGTGGTGTGGCGGGGGGTAGAGGTAATCACAGTCCGCGGTCGAAGCCTTCTTCTATGGCTAGCATGGTGGAAAGGGAGGAGGATCAAGTAGGTGGAATGACGACGGCATCGCCCACACCGGAAGTGGAAGAAGCAATGGCTGTGGTTATTCCCAGGGCGCCGTCGTCAAGGCCACCACCTCGCAGTCCGGGGTCGTCGTCGGTGTTGGCTTCTATTGGAGTGCACTGTCCGTCATTTCCGGTTGCAGATTCGGCTTCGGCGACGACGACGACGACTTATATCCCCAAGGGAATTGAAGGTCGTGCACCGCTACGGATTACTCGCCCTGAACCGAGTCATGGTCCTGAACCTGATCTCGTCGCGCTTTCACCACTTCCACCTTCTAGAACGGAGAGTAAATCTAGTCGGCGTAACTCCCGTGAAGTTGATAAGGGACAGGCACAACAGTTTCGGGTTAGCAAGCGAGGTCGCTTTACCTCCAGCCAGCGTTTCCCTTCCCAACGAGCAAGCTCCCACCGTACCGCTTCTCATCGTCCACCTTCTCAGCGTCCTTCTCAACGTCCTTCTCATCGTCCCCCCTCTCAACGTCCACCCTCCCAGCATCCCCCTTCTCAGCGTCCTTCTCACCGTCTTTATTCTAAACAACGACCCCCAACCCCATCCTCCCGCTCCTCTTCACTCTTACATAACTTCTTCAACACCCACCAGTCCACCCAAGACTCATCATCCAATAAAGGGAGAAGTAAAATGAAGAGAAGAAATAGACCGTCCTCCAACCATCCAGACCGTCACCTCCCCGCGACCGATATCCTCAAAGGGCTACAAATCATGTGCGCCGCGTCGGCAGATGAAGAACTAGATGCGTGGTTTAGGCATAAGACGGGGTTGCGGCTCAGGCGGTTTTTGGTGGATTTGAGGGGTTTTGAGGAGGTTTTGTGAGGTGGGGAATTTGGGGGGTTAATTTCTGACGAAAGTAGATGGGAAGAAAGAAAGCGGGAAAAATTAGGGGGGTGGGAGAGTAGGAGGGGAAGTAGAGCAGACTTGTTGCAAAAGAAAAAAAAACAAATTTAGGACAGGGAGAAACCGAAAAAGACGGGTGAGAAGTGGGTATTCAACTTCTACGAACTTCAGGAAGGGAATTGAAGGGGGATGGGAGGGGGGAGCGGGAAGGAGTGTTATGTGAAGGTTTATGGAGGAGGGGCGAAGGGATCAGAGCGGGGAGGTAGTAAATGGATGGATGGATGGATGGAGTGATGGATTGTTGGAATGATGGATGAAGCAGATGGATACAGCAGACGGATGACGCAGGAAAAGAGAACAAAGTAGTGGAAGAGAGAAGAAGCAAATACAACAAGAAGCATAAGAATTGAGACCATGGAAGAAGAAGAGAAAGACGGCATAGACACACAAGGGAATTAATCATTCAGGATAATACAAGCAAACAGTTATCATCAAACTTGAATTCTGGTAACAAAGAAAGAAAAGTTCGTCAAAGAGAGCGAATTGACGTACGCTGGAAAAGAAGACCACGTACAGGAGGAGAGAGACATGTGTTATAGCAGGAAGGATATGGATTATAGGAGGGATGGAAGGGGAGGAAGAAAGGTACCTCTAGCACCATGGGAATGGAAATGCGAATAGGAACTGATAACACTCCAGCTCAAGCCCAGATCACGAGGACCGTATAGTAGAATATACTATTCCAAAAAAAGCCTGGACAAGCCCATAACGCACCAAAAGCAATAATGTAATGTAATGGAAGACTTTCACTTGACCTGGTACCTATCGAAATCGGCAAGAGACCCAAAGAACTTGGGTATGGAAGTATTACCTAGCATCAAGTCATCATCTCAGCTGGCCCCATGAACGAATACCTAAAGCTACGAAGGTTGTCCTGTTCCCGAAAGTCAACGCCAGATCAGTACCGACACCGGTATAATACCGGTAGTGGAAAGCGGTCCATACATACATAGCATAGGTAGTATCGGGATCGGAAACGGAATCGGAATCGGAATCGGCGAGAGACCGAAAACTTGGAATAGTGTACCTACCTAGATATTAGGAGCATTATCATGCTGTGGTTCAGTTACCTGAGCCATATCTAAGGAATCAGTTGAATATATATGCGCGTTTCATCAATATAATACCTTGCAGATTTACAGGGCATGGAACGGGATGCCGACAATTTGGATGATTTACCTATGTTACTTGTTTCTGTCACGAAATTTTCCTTGGTTAGACTAGATCATCAATCGGATATCTATCCAAACAACCCCTGCTCCCTCTTCGTTCCATTGTCTTGGTTTCATCATCATCTCTGGGTTTGGTATTGATGACTTGGAAATGGGAGGTAATTACGCCGAAAAGTAATTGCGAATTGCTTGTGAACGTGACAATTATGGACAAGAAGAGTTGAAATTAGAACTGGCAAATGTGGCTGAGAACTTGATGTCAGGATAAAGTGCAAGAACGATATGCAGTATCTTCTCCTCCCGGTCCAGGTTGTCGATTGACGTGGTTACCTAGAAGCAAGCAGCAAGAAAAACAGCAGCTACAAGTCACTTGAGCCCAAGACCACACGGCCATAGCCTCGCTTGGAACCACAATCATTCAACTCAATTAACGAGCTACAAACTGCGGTCCCACACACCCAAAGGTGCAGTAACTATGAATCCCTAAGCCAGTGACGATGCTCATCCATAAGGATCATGTCTGGTCACACTATCTTAACGATACATCCCACTGGCCACGGGCCTATCAACCTGACTTGGGTATAGCCGAGAGTCTCTCCGTCTTGGAACGTCTATCCTCGATCTTTCCACTCTCTTTCAGATGCGCCAAAGTCCCGGTTACCATGAAACTAGAGATAGGTAAAACAAATCATCCTCCCGCCATGCAGTATAAGGTTAAAGATGACACTAACTTCCAACCAAGTATAAGAACAAAAAGTGTGTTTACTTGGACTCCCGAAACAAATGCAGCTGTAATATCAAACACCAGTAAAGTTAGACTAAAAACTTTTTTCCGCCGCACGCATAAACACAAAACATAAAAACGGCCATCTCAAAACGTCAAAGTCATTCCACCAACTGGGATACTTTTGGTTTTCCACAACATCAACATCATACTTTTACGGCGTTCGTGAGACTATAACATGCCCTACATGCTAGTGCTCAAACATCAAATTCGGAGGGTGGGCGCTCGAGAGCTGGATCAGCTGGATACGGGTTGGCATACGAGCTTGAGTAAGGCATGGCAGTCGACATGCTCCTGGCCATTGGGTTGATTGGCTGAAAGGCTGAAGGGTTGGGAGCCCTGGTAGACTCGTTCGCATAGCCATTGTAGTTGAACGATTGCATATAGGAAGGTCTGCCTGAAATACTCAAAGGATTAAGTCCACTGTAACTGGGGTGCTGCTGCGACGAGAAGAATCCATTGCTGGGGAGACCGTTGTTTAGGAGACCATTGCTGGGGAGCCCGGAATAAGAGTTCGCCATACTATCCCGCGGCGAGAAGTACGACAGCTGTGAGCCGTTCAGAGGCTTGGGTCCGGATGATCCATGCTGGGCATTGGAGGGCAGAGGTCCGTTCGAAGGGAGCATCTTTAAGGCTGGGCGCTGACGAAGCTCGAAGCTGGAAACATGGCGGTCAGTAAAGGCCACTCAGTCAAATGTCCGCGACGACTTACAAGGATCCCATAGGGCTGCCAGTACGGTCTAGAGCAATCAGGAGTTAGCTTGACGGTCCATAGAATCAGAATGGACCTCAAGTGACTCACGAGGACTGCGCTGCGGGGGATCATGGAAGACATCATAGCTGTCCATAGCTCCATGGCTGTGACCCGAGATCTGGCTAATGCTCTCATCTTGCTCAATGGACAGGGCCGCCTCGCGGGTCGACTTTGCCTTCGCGACTGCCTTGTTTCTCGCAGAAGAACGAGTGGCGCGCGGCTTCGCGTTGGTCAAGGTGGGAGCGCGACGGTTGCGCTTCTTCTTGTGGTTCTCGGCCTCTTCCAGCTCACGGTCCTGTGGCGAGATACGTTAGAAAGCAACAAAAAGAGGCAAAAGAGAGATGTGCGACCGGGAAAGATGACGCACTGGACTGCCCTCATAGTCCGAGGGGCTAGCGTAAACATCGCGCTCACGCTGAAAAGTCCAGTCTTCATTATAGATGACCTCCTTCTGTTCGATAGTGGTTGAAGCCTCCTCCATCAGCTTCAAGACAGACTCGTCCTTGCGTTGGTTGCGCTTGCGCTTCTGTTGCTCATTGGCGGAATCAAAGAGACCCATGCCGGGATACCGGATTCCCTTGAGCTTGCTGGATTCGTCGTCCTCCTCGTCAAACTCTGTAATTTCAGACGTGACCTCAGAGGAGGGGAGGATACTGTCCGAGGTCGCAGTCTCGGAAGGCCATCTGGTGTACTTGCTCGCAAACATGTTTTCGGGTGTGTCCGGGGCAGAATAGTCAGAGCGTGGACATTTCAAAAGAGGAGATTGAAAAGCGGGAGGGTCCAGGTATGAGTGACCGTGGCGCAAATTGTGAAATTGGAAGGATGCGTTGTTCGGGTCTGTAATCCAGTGGGCCAAGACGGGTGTGTGGTCTAGCTGCTCGCCAGCCGGCTCGTTTTTGACCAAGTCATCCCGATTCTGAAAAGCCTTGGGCCTATTCTGTAGCGGGAGTCCAGTCAACAAACGCCCCTCCGAGGGGAGAATTGGCAGAGAAGCAGTGTCCACTTACAGCTGTGCCGGCCGGCCGACCACGCTTTGCGGGTTTCTTATTTTCCTTTGCTTCAAGCCGTTCCTCAAGAAGCGCATGAATACCACTGGTTTCCTCCCATTTGAGGTATTGTTGTATGGTCTCCCTCGCCGCATCGTTGTGACGTGCCCGTATTTCTGTCTTGAAGCGGTGGGACAGATGACTCTTGGACGAGCAATGTGTGAGCAGGTGAGAGACATCGGAAAACAATGGTTGCTTGGGGCAGAGGGTGCACTTGAGTGAGATCGAAGTAGGGTCGAACTTGGTCTCTTCCATGTCCATTGGAGCGACGGCGGCCATTGTCTAGCAAGTGTAAGTCAACAACCAGACGGCAATGTGGTTATGCATGGTTGCAACAGGGTAGTAACTCACTGCCGGGGGTGAACCGGGGAGGTCGGGGCTGGGTTGACTGCAGGATCAAGCCGAAATAGAGGCAGAGTTGTCTGGCTGCAATGGCTCCGCTGGTGGTAAGGGGAAGACGTGTAATTTGATAGACGGATGGGCAGGCAAGACTTGAGGTATCTGAATGTGTATGTGTGTGGGAGAGAGTGCTGGCAGTGTTGATCTTCAAAGAGTTCCTGACGAGTGATGCATAAATCGAGAGCAGTGGCGTGTTGAAGGCGTCAGTGTCCGTGGCGTATATAGATGAACTTTGTAGGCTGTCTGCTGAAAGACCCAAGGAAGCTGGACACTGGCGTAGCTCAGGACGGAATTGTACAGTGATAAGGCCGACTTCAGGAGCCTAGCAAGCACGAGTCTCCAAGAAAGTGAAGGTAGTGGTGATGGCAATGCTGTTGTTGTTGTTGACAGGGTCCATCACATGCATCTCCACGAAGAAGGGATCCGGGGAGAAGTCCGGGCAGGCCAATGAACGAAGAAGGGAGGAAGGGAGGAAGTGTGAATTCTCCGTCAATAATCGAAGACGTTTACTTCAGGGCCGTCTCCTTGATGACGCGATTGGAGGACAGAGAGACCGATTGGTGTTGTTGAGCGGAGGGGAAGGAACTTCCACGATGGGCAGACAAAAGATGCGTCGGTGTTGAGGGAAGGATGAGAGTCGGAGAGAGGAAGAACTTTGGAGGACAGAGATTTTGCAGAAACTGAACGAGAAAAGTGCAACAGCCACTCTCGCCCACTCAGCCAGCCGAGGGCACAAGAAGAACCCTCCCTCGTCAAGGGGGCACACACACAATGGAAAGAACGGTTGTCACGAATCTGAGGACAGTTTGAGGAAGGTACAATGAGATTTGTGGGCACCTTGGTGCCTGAGTGTCAGCCAGAGTCGGTGGATGAGGAAAGTGGGTGAGCTCGCCAGAGAGGGAAGGAACGATGAAGACCCAGGATCACGGATTCGGAGGGGTGAGTCTGGAAGGTGTGCGGTACTGTAACGTGAAAAAACACGATTTCTGGAGGAAGTGACAGGAAAAGCTGATCAATGTTCGGCCCCGAGAGATGACTAGGTTGCCTAAGAGAACTTGCTATCAGCTCATAGGGCTTACTGTTGATGTCAAAGGCAAGTGTCGGTGGTGTACTGAGACTATTCCGTGGCGCTCTGTCCTGCACCATAACCAATGGTAACGTAACAAACGGGCAACTTCGACTTCAAATGACTGTTCCCAAAGATACCGGGTCAGCAATTGTCCAATGGTAGACGACCAAGCTGCGAGACGGGTAGATGCAGTGACAGGTGATTACATTGAAACAAAGCTCAAGGAACAATTCAGTTTGAAAGACGAAGGAAACGATGCATTGGAATTGGAACATTGATGAAGGAGGCATCGTACCTTTATGTCTTGGGCTGCAGATGTCAGAAGAATTGAACACACCAAAGAGTGACAACAATTATGGATGTCAAGGAGCAAAGGTAGACAATTAGACAGTGACAACACAAAGACAAAATGTGCGAGTGGTTCAAGTGAAAAATAATTGTATTAAAGGAACACTATGGAATGTCCCCTACCTAACCATGTCGATTGATGTTGGGAATACTCTCAAGCAACAATAAACCAGTAGGGAGTTACTCGTCTGGGCTCCAAACGCCTCACATTCCCACTGAAGGGATGCAATAACGTCTTTTGCCCACACGAGAACGATGTTTCTCTTCTCCCGCCTTGTATCCTGCCGACGCCTGGAGTGCGTGTCGGAAGGTTATTAGATGGCAGGAGGTGGTTGTGTTTGTATCCTGTGTCATGTCACGATGATGAGATTGATGTCAAGAGCCATCGTACTGTATTCCGACAACACCACATCAAACTCAACGACCCAGGACACGCTTGATGGTCGACTTGGGCATGCAATACACCTCGTCAACCGGCTCCAAGCCCGGATAGTCCAGCAAGCTCAAACCCGCAATGCCAAAGCAGGTGTGCCAGACATCCACCATGTCACCAGGCCTGTCCGAGATGCCACCCTTGTCCGTGTCTTGCGAGCTCAGGATGAAGCTGGTGAGCTTCTCCTTGTCGATCCAGTGCGTCTTGCCAATCATTTCCAGACTGCTCAGCACCCACCAGCTGTAGCACACGTCCTCCTTCTTCTCCGGACGACCATTCAAGCCACCGCCGGCGATCTGCCTCTCACTCAACCAGCGACCCAGGCGATCAACGTCAATGAGCTCCTTGCGGCCAGCAATGGTGAGGGCAGCGACGCACGTGAAGATCTGACCAGAGTGGGACTCGGCACCAGGGCTGACACCGTAGCCGCCGTCAAAGTTGGCGCACGCAGCAATGTGGTCAACGGCCTTGTCAACATCGACAAGGTGGAGGAGGCCAAGAAGAGAAAGGGCATTGAAGGCGCCGTAGAGGAAGCGAGTGTCTTCCTCACCCCACTCATCACCCGCAAACGTGCCGGTCTGGCGGTTCTGGAGGCTGGCAATATCTGGACCCGACAGTGTCAGTACAAAGTGTCAATGGGGGTTTACCTAGGTTGATGACAAGCAACGCACACTTTCCGACCTGTGCCTTGCCCCGGCCACGCGTCTCGAGGTCATCAAAGGCGTCGACCATGGCGAGGATCTGCACGGCACTGACGGTGGACAGCATGTGGGCATCATGGCCGGGTGCCGCGCCGAAGCCGCCATTCTCGTGCTGGCATGATAGCACAAAGTCGATGGTCTCAGCGCGCGGGAGAGCCTCGGGGTGGCCGAGGAGGTGCAGAGCGGTCAAGCCCCAGTAGAGGCCATTGAGACGCAGATGCTCCGTCAACCAGTAGTCATATTCGTCCTTTCGGGAGTCGAGACTCTGGATGTACTTGACGTGGGCAGAGGTTGTGAGCTGCAGCTCTTGCGGGAGAGAGGTGAAGCTTTGTGTCATGTTGGAGAATTTGAGGGTTTTATGTGTGGTGCGGTGGGTGGGAAGCTTGGATGGGATTAGGCTGCATTCAAGGAACCAGCATTGTGGAAACGGAAGTCGGAAGTCGGAGTTACGATTGAACGATTCAGCCTTCATTGCCCGCCGGTACTACCCCACCATGGACATGGACGCTGAGGTCTTACTTACGTAATCGGTACTTGGCAGCCACTGCACCATTTAGACGCCATGCCAAGAAATGCCCTCTCCAGCTTGCTCAATTTGGAGGAAAGGCGCAATGACAATTGTGAGAATTCATCATCTCTTGTGACCTTGGCAAATGCCCCAAAGGCGGGACACGCGTATTTGCGAGAGTCATTTGATTTTTTGGATCTCTCGCGAGTGCAAATGAGGCAAATGAGCTTCATCTCATGAATGTCGTGATTATTTTTAAATGAAGGGCTGATAGGTTGGGCAGCAGTCATACCGCGTAGTGTACAGTGCACCGGCGCTGAAGATGAGGATACGAACACTCATCGTACAGGGGGGGTGAAGGCCTTTTGTCTCTCCATCAAATTGAACTGAAGGCATCCCTCACCCACTTGGGACATTGTCCACAACAGCCTGATGAGGCGTGACGATCCTGTTTCTCGAAAACAGCTGGTTGACGTACGATGGCAGATACTGGAAATCTCTGGAATGCCTGCTCCGGCCAATTTGCGCTTCAAGATGACGAATCTGACCGGCGCTTCGAATCGGTATCCTCTCTCTCGTTTACATGGGGGGAAGGTAGGGCACACCGGTGTCACAGGCGATTTGATACCGTATCTCGAAGCGACGTTGCGACCATCAACGTCGATGACTGGCGCAAGTGCGCAACAACGTCCGGCCATCCAGACTCTTCCACGGTCGTCAAATCGGAAAAAAGAATGCGGTCCAATGTTACGAGATCTAGCCAGGGTAAGTGCAGTGCAGCTTTACACTATGTAGTCCTTGCAGCAGATCACGGTCTCGTGCAATCATGATCGAGACGCCTTCGGTGACCGGTCTTGGCTTGGTGTTTTGAACTTTGCAACGTGGACTGCCCAGGTCGAATCTTGCCGTGATGCATCTATGTCACTTGTGAATCGAGACTCTTTAGTCCAGGAACGGGAGGTGGTGGCTGAAACCACCGGAAAGCAAGGCCCAAGTCTCCGGTAGAGTTCCAGACTTTTGATAGGTAGTTGTAGGGCATGTTTCGACGCGATTTGTTTGCCCTTGATTCACATATTCAACATGATGCCGTCATATGATTCAACAAAAAAGCTCAGAGTTGACAAAAAAAGAAAAGTTGCAGTGAAGCGCTGGAAGCAACGTTGAACCCGTCCTGTCGGATTGGAGACAGCGCTTGTCGCGGAAGACATGGCCGTTCAGCAAATGGGACGAGAGAACAGTTGAGCAACCAGTGAGAATTGAGAAAGGACAGCAACAGTTTCGGGCTTGGCCTTGCTGTGTTCCTGGAGCTAGTCCCGAAATGGACTTGGTGTAGTCCGGCCAGGCCCTCCAGACTCGCAAACGCCGTGACAGCCGACGGAGAGCAACACCCATAACAGGGACACCGAGAAAAAAAAAAAAAAAGAAGAAGCGATTGATTGGAGTTGACGATGAACGAAACATTACGCGTATATGCGCCATTGGTGATGAGCTACTGCACAATGCTATAGTAACATTTTTTGTAAGGTTTGTTCAAGTCTGGACAACCGGAGTGCCGGTAAGACGTCCAGAAAAAGGTGAAGAGCCTGGAGTGAAATCACAAGAGTTCCGTGCCACTTGTTTTCTCTGGACATGTACAATTGTCATGATGAGCGAGCGCCACCATCAATCACCTGACTGTAGGGCCACAGGGCCATCATTTGCGGCTCAACCAGGCCAAGAGGCCCGTCCGAGATTAGTTTGCTGGAGCCCAGGTCAAGCCAGAGGAAGATCCGTTGCCGGTACCTTACCTTAGCCCATTTCTGGCCCTGGCTTCCCGCTCATCAAGTTTCCAGCGGTGTATGCACAGTATCTATGAGGGCATCGGGCGATCACCAGCACTATACACTAAAAGGGGATCGGGATATTTCCCAACCCGTGTTTTCAAATAGGCATCAGTTGTTGATGTTGGTGCTTGCTTGACGGAATAGGTAGATGTGGTAAGCACCTTGTGAAGTAAGAATGAATATTGAGCACAGCCCCGGATGGACATTGGAGTCCTCCGTCTGGACATAAGTACCTACGTGCCGCAAATTCCATCTCGAAAACGGAAAACAGCGCTACAGCAAAGTCCCCTGCTTCTGCTAACCTAGTCCTGTGCAAAAAAACGCTACTAGATGAAAAGAAATCCCGTACCGGAATTGTGTTCCCATACGGGGATTGCAAACTGTAACTTGTAAGGCGTCAAGCCGGATTTATAGGTACAAGGGTAGCGGTACCTTTTTGTCAGGACATGATATTTCGAGCCCCTAGACCGGGCGACTTATTCCACTTTTTTGCTGGTCAGAGGGTCTGCTCACTCACCCCCTCTTCTGCAAATACCCCTTTAAATGCAAGAAAAATGGCTTCTCAAACAACTTTTGCAAAGACAGGGGACTTTACTGTATTGAACTGCGCTGACACAGTACACGCGCCCTTTACCCATTCCAAGCGAAAGCAGTTTACCCCGCTACCAATGCAGACAATTGTACCCAAATCCGTCAGGTATCTCTAGCGTATGCTTCGTCTTCCCCGCTGATGAATGCCCAGCCTGTGTCCATATTGGAGATGCTCTTGGCATGGACATTACGGACTATCACGGACAAGAGAGATGGAGATTAATAGTTGGCCCATCATGGCGTTCAGTTTACACAAAGGAACAAAGGACGGGAACAGGGATGGGCCAATCCAAGCAAGCGTCCGCGTCAAGAATTGCCCTTGCTTGGTGACTTTGAGTTGCTTCGGTTGTTGTTGTTGTATTCTAAGTTTCGCTTGCCGTTTCAGGTTTCCCTTCTGGAACTTGTGTCCTTCCGTCAAGTCCAACACCAACATCAGGTTGAACCCGGCACCTAATGGAATTAAAAGGTGAAAGTCAAAGCTTGTCCTGCCGCTGTGCGTGATGACCTGAGTTCCTGTTGGGCCAGAATTTGTGCAGAAAAGGGATCCATACTGCTATTGTCAAGTGCTGACCTGGTACCAATGACTACCTTCAATCTGCGGGCCCAGTCGGCGTGAAGACAAGTCTCCGCTGTTAGTACAGCATCAACAGAGCCGGCCGCTAACCTAGTGTACCTGTCTATGTACCAGCATCGCCATCAACAGCCAACCAGCCAGCGCCTGGCAAAACTGAAGCTCAAAGCGTCGTCCGTCGTCAAGCTGCCCGGCGCCCCGATTGCCTGCCCTGCGTGTCTCCATCTCCCTAATCCCGTCAAGTGGGAAGTCCACACACACCCCCTGGTCCCGCTCCCTTCGGTTCCTCATCAGACTCCAGCAAAGGGACTGGACTGGACTCCAGAATTGCAGAACAGAAACTCCAAGCCAGGGAACCTAACTCGCTCCATAACCGACCGACCTCCCCCATCCATCCCGTCAACGTCGGTTTCGTAGTATCCTGCCCAAAATCGACCACGCCCGACCACCTCCCCTCCCCTCCCACACGCATCGTGCTGCTGCCCGCTGCTGCTGCTGTTGCTGTTGCTGTTGCTGCTGCTGCTGCTGCTGCTGCAGGAACGGACCCATTCTCCGACCAGGTTGACATTCCGTCGTCCAGTTTTGCTCTGAAACCTCCGAACAGGAACTTGACCCCTTGGCATTTCCAACACTACACTACACTACACTATACACTACACTACAACACGACGGCGGCGACCTGCCTCTCCAACGGAACCTAGGTCTACTCATCAAATCGCAACCGGGCTGCCCGCTGGCGGTGCGGTCTCCCCGACCACAGAAGACAGGACCCGACACACATACGATAAACCATCTCCATCAATTCTGACTGAATAGTGATCGCGGCGCATCCCAGACCCTTCGACCTCCCGATTCCCTCCTCCAGGACCGTCCCGTCATTGAGGCGAGAGCGCACGTCCACGATCCCTTTGTTCCCTCTTCGTACGTAGCCGGGCTGTTCTGTTTTCACACTGCGGAACCGCATAGGTACATACATAGTCAAGCTCGAGTATATCTCCGACCCCTTACATGCCATCGCCTCGTCATCATCATCATCATCATCATCATCATCAAGAAGTACTGCGAACAACTACTCCGGGTCACCTCTAGTCTAGGTGGATGTCGCCGAGTTGCAAAAATCAATTGGTTTGCCAAAAGGTCAGCCAGCGCCGCCCGCCCGTCACATCATACATACATACATAGCAGCATATACCCGTTGCCCGGCTTTTGCGCATCCTTCCTCCGATCCTCCTCTGCCTGGCCTCCACAACATCCACCACACATCTCCATCACATCTTCAGCCCAGCCCCAGCCTACTTGTACCATCCTGGTCCATATCTGTCAGCTCTGCTGGATCCCCATCTCATCATTCTCTCTCGGCTCCGTCGCGCGCGCCCCCCCGGTTGTGTGCAGCCTGCGCCATCCCTACCTGACACTTTCATGTTACCTCGACGACGGTTGTGCCTCGCTGGGTCGCTGCCTCCATTGTCGCAGTCGGCCACTTTCGTCTATTTTAACCTCCCTGCAACTGCAAAGCAAATCCTGACATTCGACGTGATACCGCAGCGGACAAAACCGACTTGCTGACCTGGAAACTGACTGCGCCAGACAACAAACGAATCGGGATTCCGTTCGACAAAGCATCCATTAGTCGATCCTTGAAACACAGGCGCCACACCTGACAACCGATTTCGATCCGATCTTTTCTCGTCGGTCGCTATTGTCCGCGCCTGGACCTGGAATAAGAAGTGAGCGAAAAGAGATGGCCCGAAAAGGCGTACCGCAACCGCTTACGCTGGCAGAATCCGGAACTCTTGGAAAGGAAACCTCTCCGCGCCTTGGTGACACCACCCAACAACAACATCATCATCATCATCAACAACAAGCCCCCAGCAGCAGCGCCGTCAGTGCCACCGGTAGCGGTGGTGGTAGTTTGGCCAGCGGGCGCTCGACTCCGCAGGCCTCGCGATCGCCGAGGTCCCCACGTTCCCCTTTCAAGATCGGCCCTCAAAAGGTAGAATACCCCGGGGAGCCACCGAGAACCTCGTCACCCCCAACCGAGCAACCCGTCGAAGCCGTCGCCATTTCCCAAGACCAACGGTATCAAAGGCAGAAATCCCCAGACGTCCCGCCCGAGGACCATTCACGCGTGACCACCTCCACGTCGGCACCGTCGCAATCGTCCGATCATCGGGGCCACAAACATAGCCGAAACGACGAGGACAAGTCATCCAAGTCGAGTTTCTTTTTCAGCTTTGGAAAATCGAGCAGGTTGTCAGAACGCGCAATTTCTCCTCAGCTCTTGGAACCGCAAACAGAAGGTATGTCGAGGGAGACCGAACCATCTATCCATTCAGGGTCAAATGCCAATCACAAGCTTCTAGGTGTGTTCACAGTTGCTTCGCATTGATGATACCAGTTCTTGGTCCCATGTACTTCGGTATTTTAACTTGTTCCCGTTTGCACAGATCCGTCATATAACGAATACCCATCGCAAAGGAAGAGCCCAACGCTGCCCGGCAAGTCTGAAGTATCTCTAATCTCATCCAACGAATACGAAACAGCAAACAATAACCGAAGGAGCAAACCCAATCCATTTACCCTGATAAGTCGCACAAGATCGCACAAGGAGAAGGAGAAGGAAAATCATCAATATTCTCGAGAACCTGTGTACGCGCCCGCGAGAGCTGGCGAGCCCGACAAGGTGTACGCGACATCAGCACCGAGAACTGCACCAATACAATCACAAGAGCACACATTTCGCGACATGATGGTGTCCGGACCAAGAGGCCATTCGGCGGAGAGGGCGGGAGGAAGCAAGCACTTTGACGGCATAAACAGGAATCAGTCCCTGTCGCTCAAGGAGGCAGGCGGATCGCTGTTTAACGGACTAAAAGAAAGTAGGGCCGCCGGCTTTCTCAGCAAGAAGTTATTTGGAGGTTCAAAGGAAGACAAGTTCGCACCAAAGGAACCGGTAATAGACGACGAGCATTACGTTCTCAAGGTGATCAACCTACCGCTCGTTGAGCAGACGCGGTTAACTCGAATATCGAAAAGGCTGGAGGATTCACGCGACAAGACAGAGTTTTGGATGCCGGCATTTCCCTGGAGAGCGATCGACTATCTCAACTACAAGGGCAGCGATGTTGAAGGGTTATATCGAGTTCCTGGCAGTGGACCGCAAATCAAAAAGTGGCAGCGGAAATTTGACGAAGGTATGTGTTCAAAGGCTTTGGTGTCAGTGACTCGGTTTCTAACACTTGACTTTTCGCAGAGCTCGATGTGGACCTTTTCGAACAACCAGATTTGTACGACATCAACATTATCGGCTCAATGTTAAAGGCATGGCTCCGCGAACTACCCGACGAACTATTTCCAAAAGCAGCCCAGGAAAGAGTGGCCAAGGAATGCGCGGGGGCAGAGAAAGTGCCCGAGTTACTTAGAGAAGAGCTCTCCAACCTTTCGCCCTTCAAGTACTACCTACTCTTTGCCATTACATGTCACCTCAGCCTGCTGCTCGCCCACTCGGATAAGAACAAGATGGATTTCCGGAATCTCTGCATTTGCTTCCAGCCATGCATGAAGATCGATGCCTTTTGTTTCAAGTTCCTGGTATGCGACTGGAGGGACTGCTGGAAGGGATGCAAGAACGAAGCCAAGTACATCGAGGAGGAGTATGCGCTATTCGACCAACCGCCACCAAGGAGCTACAGGAGTAAGCGGGAGACGGAGTTGAGGGAAAGGGAGGAAAAAGAGGACCGGGAAAGGGCAATACACCGAGATCGAGAAAGGGAGCAAAGAACTCAGTCTCAGGTTCAGGCGTCTTATCAACAACAGGGGGGTCAGGTCATTCCTCCAGCCCACCGCAACGGAAATGTGCAACAGTCGCCAGCACCACCACAGCAGGTTCAGCGACTAAGGAAAAAGAACACGGCGCAAGAAACAACACAAACAGCGGTGGTCGACACGGGCTCAACGGTATCGACGACCATTACGCTGGTCAGTGATCGAGACACGTCACATGGGCGAGGAACAAATCATCCGAATCAGAGACAACTACAACCGGGTGAGCTACCGGCTCTTTCGCCCATAAAACCGCTGTCGCCGATGGGGTTTTAGTGGGCTATGCTGCTTGAACAATCTGGTCTTTCTTCGCTTCCTCCTTTCATTTATAAGGTTTGTCGACCTTTTTGCAGTGGGGAGGTTTTTGCGAGTGGTTCATTAGGCCAATAAGTCGGTTGAGGGCACGGTCACAGTCTCTTGTGGACAAAGAGGGGACGGACAATAGCACCAAACTCACAGCTCGCAGTTGTACTGAGACCACTCAAACACAGAGCCAACACACACACACAAATCACAACTTTGAACACACACACACACACACACACACACACACACACACACACACACATACACACACAAGACACGACTTTTATGCTGTGGACGAACTTCTCCTTTTCTTTTCTTATCTCTCGTTTACTCTACCAAAGAACAACAACGTTATAGTTATTACCTATCATATCAAACCATGTTTACCACACACATCCAACCATCCAACAGACACACAGCAAGTTTCCACAAGAATTTTTCCTTTTTTCTCATAAAGTCAGTCAAGTTGAGTCGGAAGAAGAAGTCAAGTTGAGTCGAAGAAGTCGAGGTCAAATTGAGTTGGAAGAAGAAGAAGTCAAGAGGAAGAAGTCGAAGAAGAAGAACAAGTCAATGCAATGCGATCGTTATCTACGGATCTTATTTCCTTTTTGTCTCTATGTTTTTCATTTTCTTTTTTCTTTTTTGTCTGTAAACTTGGTTGCTGGCTTGTTTGTTTGTTTTTTTGCGTTTTGAAATACCCCCTTCCGCGCGTTACAGTTGTTGCTTAGTTGAAAATCATCATCATCATCATTATTACATTTTTCTTTTTCGTTGCCTGCCTGTCTATGCCGCCTGCTGCCTCTCTGTCTGCTCACTGCTGCATGCTGCCCATTTATATTGCCTGCCTGCCTGTCTGCCTGCCTGCTTGTTGCCTACCGTTGAAGTCGTCGTCTGTCGTCGTTCACCACACAGTTGCTTTAGACCACACACACCAAATCAGAGAATGAAATCGAGAAAAGGAAAGGAGAGAAAGTGATCAAGGTGGAATAATCACTTTACCTGGAGCAACAAAGCAAAGTAATCAACTTGGTGATTGGTACATCGCGTGTCGTGTGGTAAATTCTGGACAACCGAAAGCGAGCAGACTGACTGATTGAGTGGAGGTGGCTAAGAACAAGAAGTAGTAGAAAGAAATTCAGGACAGGAAGGAGACATCAAGTTGGCGAAGTGAAGGGACAGAGGAAGAGAAAGAGAAAAAGTCGACGTAAATTGGATGGTGAAGAGAGAAAGAGACATAAAGAAGTAGATACCATGCATGTTGAATGGGTTGGAGGAAAGAAAAGATCCAGTGGAAGAGAGAGGCAAAAGAGAGGGGTCATAGTAAAGCGAGATATTATCGTACCTAGACGTGTGGGTGGTGTGCGGGTGGTAAATTGAGTTGAATGGAATCGACTTGAACTGATCTGTATCGAACTGAATGCAATTGAATCTGTTCGGTTCACAACGCACAAGGTGAATGCGTAAAAATACAATAGGTCGAGATGGTGGTGGCCATGGCATTGTGTGGTAACTAACATCATACCAAGATTAAAGAAAAAGAAAAGAAAAGGGGGGAAAAAAAAGAGAAAAAAAGAGAAAAAAGAACAACAACCAGAAAGAAAGAAAGAAAAAAGTGATGATAACAGATGAGAGAAAAGAAGAAAGAAGAAGACTCATTACCAAGGGACCCATGAGCGTTTCTGTTAAGCATAAACACATACGATAAGCAGAGCAATGGAATTACGAAAATAAGCTTTGTCTTTGTAATGTGATAGAATCCTCCCAGTAGTACAGTAAAATAAGTATATAAACAACCTTGAACGCCCGAAATGCCCAGGCCCAAAATGCCTAGTAGATAAGGTAAAGGAACAACGAAGCCTCTTGTCTTGTGTCTTGTCTTGTCTTCTTGTGTAGCCTCTCAGGGAAGGGAGGCCTGCTGATGCTGATGCTGATACACGGGCCAGCACCACTTCACTTCACTTCGCATCACTTTGCTTTACTCATCTTGATGACCTCCCTCCCTTCTTTCCATGCTTCCTTCCACATGCTCCCTGTTTCCTCCCCATTCTCAACTCCAGATATCCCCCCTTCTGCACAAGCACCCCATTACTGTTCAAAGGCACTCACTTTACTTCTTCCTCCCACTCTCCCTCCGCTCATTCGCCCTCATCTTCCTCTCATTCCTCTTCACCCGCTCTCTAATCTCCCGTCTCTTATCCCCCCTCACACTCTTCCCCTCCGCCATCCGCTTCTCCTCCTGGCTCTTCTTGACCTCAATAATCGGCGCATCCTCACCCGCCTTGTTGGCGCCCTTGTATCCCCACTTGCGGCCCCATTCTCCGGTCGTCTCGTCATACTGCAGGTTGCGTCGCTGCTCGCGCGTCTTGGGCTTGATGCCGCGGCGCTTGGCGAACTGGCTCCATTTCGTTTCGGCCTTGGGCGTCGGCACGGGTTTCTCGCGCGGGAGAGGGGTTTGAGGAGGCGGGAGGGACAGTAAGACGCCGGCGGGGGTGGAACTGATGGGGCAGGCCGTGAGGAGTTGGTTGATGAGGGATTGGCATCCGTCGCGGGCGATGGTGGCGAGTTGGGGTTCGAGTGGAGTGGAGCGGTCGAGGAGGAGGGGGTTGGGGTCGTTGGCGAGGAGGAGGCCGAGGTCGAAGGTGTAGGGGGTGGGTTTGTCGACTGTGACGGGGAGTTTGGTGGTGGTGGTTGTTGCGTCGGACATTTTGATGGTGTTTTGGTCTAATGGGCGCGGCGGGTTGATTAAATGGTTTGGTTCAGGTTGATGACTGGGTGTTTTTGGTTGTTATGGGCGCGCCGTGTGGGATTCCGTTAGGCTGCCTTGGTGATGTTGATGGTGATGGAAACAAACAGTTGACTTGGGGTATCTTTTGTCCTTCAGTTGGCAGAACTGGGGATCACATTCTCTGGAAGGACGGGAGAGGTGCTGCTGGTTCTGGATCTACTGAAAATTTAGGCGGTGACAGGCGGCAGATTCGAGCTTGAAGATGGTGCGGGACCGCTGTCAATTGCAATCTGATGTTCTCATTGGCTGGAAGACCCCAAACCGGCAAACCGCCAACTTCTTGGCGCCGGGGAATTTGGAGGGACGGGTCGCCAAGTCGAAGTTGGTCCGAGCTTGCGAACTTTCCAACGCGCGCCCGCTCCCGCTCCGCTTGCCGTGTGCGGCATCACAGGTTCCCGTCCCGTCCTGTCCCGGTTTGTGTTGACTTGCGACGATATTGTTTGCCCGGTAGCTTTGACGGGCTCAGCTGTGTTTCAACCACACCACACACCACCCACAGCAGCCCGATCGACCGACCGTCTGACCGGCCGACCACCCGCCCGCATACATGTCGGCGTCCAACTGCCTGAGGTGCCTCGTGCGCCCCTCGGCCGTGGCCCTGGTCCCCCGCCAGATGCTCCAGGTCGGCGGTGGCAGCCTCACCTTCACAGCGACCGCCGCCACCAAGGGCGCTTCCACCGCCAACACGGGAGGCCGACAGAACGCCAACCGCCCCCAGAAGCTGCGCTTCAAGAAGACCAAAAAGAAGAACGTGGTATCCTCGGGCAAGCCGCCTCAGCCCGGCGAGCGCAAGGCCTACCGCAAGAAGATTGTGCTCAGCAACAACAACGCCCTGCCCGTGCCCGGCCTCGAGACCCTGCGCCCCAACGACCTGGCCAAGCAGGACAATGTCGGCTCCGTCAAGGCCCTGCCCGAGGATGTGGTTGATGCCCTGCGCGCCATGGAGGCCTTCAAGCCCACGCAGTGCTGGGGCATCTTCCGCCAGCCCTCGGTGCTCATCCGCCAGGAGACGGTCGACCTAACCAAGAAGATGAAGGCGGCCGGCGCCGACGGCAAGACAATCCGCATGGTCATTGAGGGCAACAGGATAACGGGCAAGAGCTTGCTGCTGCTGCAGGCCATGACGCATGCGTTTATGAACGACTGGGTGGTGTTGCACATTCCCGAGGGTCAGTCACTCACCTCCCCTCCCCTTTACTCTCTTATTGTCCTTATCACATACTGACCCGTGTTCTGAAAAACAGCCCAAGAACTAACCACCGCCGTCACCGAATATGCGCCCATTGAAAACTCGCCGCTCTGGACACAACCCACCTACACGCTCAAGCTCCTGCAATCCTTCAAGCGCGCCAACGAAAAGGTCCTGTCGCGCATGAACACAGTCTACTCGCACGCCGACCTCCCGCAAATCATCCCCGTCAACTCGCCCCTGCTGCAGCTCATCAACAGCGCCAAGGAAGCCGACGGCGCCTGGACCGTCTTCCAGGCTCTCTGGCGCGAACTCAACGCCGAGAACGTGCCCGGCCGCCCGCCCATCCTGTTCTCGCTCGACGGCCTCGCCCACATCATGAAGGTGTCGGACTACCGCAACCCGGCCTTTGAGCTGATCCACTCGCACGACTTGGCTTTGGTGAAACTCTTCACCGACTGCTTGTCAGGTGCCCACGTGATGCCCAACGGCGGTGCTGTTCTCGGCGCTACGACGCGCGGAAACTCGCCGAGGAGCGCGAGTATGGAGTTGGCGATTGCGCAGCGCGAGGCGGAGAAGGCGGGCGAAAAGGAGGAGGTGCCGAAGAGGGACCCGTATAGCAAGAAGTACGATGATCGCGTGGAGGCGGTCATGAAGAGCGTGGAGATTCTGAGGCTCAAGGGCGTGAGCAAGGTGGAGGCGCGCGGTCTGTTGGAGTACTGGGCTGCGAGTGGCATGTTGAAGAAGAGGGTGGATGAGAGCATGGTGAGTGAGAAGTGGACGTTGAGCGGGAATGGCGTGGTGGGCGAGATGGAGAGGGCTTCGCTTTTGACTATGAAGGCTTGAGTCAGGTATGAGGTCCGTGGGGTTCAGGAATGGGAGGGATGGGGAGTATATGTGTGTGTACGTGTCATAGATGGGTATGATGAACTCTTTGTAACTCTAGAAAATAGGGGTTAGTTAGATTGGTGTGTGGGATTGAAAATATCAGCCTGTATTTTTAGTAAGAGATTTAGAGGGTTTATATGACTGACATCTGGTAGATTTGTTGTGATGAAATGAAATGTGGGCGATGCTTCTTGATCCAATGAACTTGGCTGAAATTTTCAAGTCAAAAGGTAGTCTGCCGTCTGATTGCAGTTGCAAAAACACTTCTCTGCAACTTGAAATCAACTTCACCAATGTTGGAACTCCAGAAACAGCTATGTTCATACTTACTCAGTCCTCACCATCGACTCAATTACAGGTAATTAGACCAGAACAACTACAAAGCGCAAGTTTATTCGAACCTCACTTCACTTCAAACCAACTTCACATTTTTGCCCACACAATTTTCACTACTCAACACCAAGTCATAAAAAACCCCAAAATCAAGTTATCAATCAACCCATACAACGCCCTATTTTGGATGGAAACAAGACACCCGTTCATAACAAATCACAAAAATCAGAAGCCAAGAAAAAAAAAAAAGAGCTGAACAAGTTTTCCCTTAAACCCCAACAATAGCGAAAATCCAGTCACAGTCACAGTCACACCTCTATGCCGTAAACTTCTAGATATCCTCACTACCCTCCCTCTCCCCACCGGCAGTAATAAACACCAGTCTCGTTCCATTCCCAGCCGTTTGCCAGACCTGTTTATCATTTTTGTCGTTAGCATCACCACCACTCTATTGGCCAAATAAGAGATTAAAAGAAAAAAAGAGAAGAAAAAAAAGGGGGGGAAGGGAAAAAAGGGGGGGACAAAAAAGACAGAAAGGGGAAAGTATGGAAGAAAAGAAGGGGAAAGAAGGGGGAAAAAAGGGTAGAAAAAAGAAAAGAACGAAAAGTGGAAAGAAGAGAAAGAAAGGGGGAAAGGGGGAAGGGTAAAAGAAAGGAAGGGAAAAAGAAAAAGGGGAAAAAGGGCAAAAGAAAGAGAGGGAAAAAAGGGGGGAAGGAACAGAGAGAGGAAAAGAAAGGGAAATGAAAACAAAAGGGGGCAAGAAAGGGTAAAGAAGAAAAAGGGAAAAGTAAAAAAAGGGGGCAAAAGAAAACTCACATCCAAATCAGTATACTCATCCAGCGCACTCAACCACTGCTGCTCCGTAAACCCCTTGGCAATCACCCGTTCCTTAACCTTTCTCAAACTCATCTCCACCCCAAACTCATCTTCCTCTTCCTCTTCGTTGTCCAGACCATCATCGGGCCTACAAGCTCCACTATCCGCCAACCCCTTCACAAGATTATAAATCCTACTACTAGCATTCATCGCCCTCTTATTGCCAGCATTCCTATCATCCTGCGCCAACGACTCCTTGCTAGCTTCCACCAGCCGCAGGGCTTCATCAACATCATCTTGCGTGACGGTATTGCTGAACCTCAGCCGCGCCAAAGCCTGCGCAAGACGGACGACACCTAGCAAAGTACGGGGGGTGGTATGCCCAAAGTTCAGGTTCTTCTTCTCTGCGCGTTTCTGCTGAGCGCGCAGGCGGACGTAGGTTTTCACCATGTATTCGGAGACTGCTTGCGGGACGACGGGGCGGTACTCGCGGGCTTTGGCGACGTAGGCACGGACTTCCTCGGGGGAAAAGACGGATGACTCGGTACCGGAAATGTCGGGGTGGCGGTTGTGCATGTGCACGTAGGCGACGTGCTTGGCGAGTTGGGCGTCCGTGTCGCGCGTGGGCGTGTCGAGGAGGAGGAACATGATGTCGAAACGGGAAAGTAGAGCCGCGGGGAGGTTGATGTTCTCGACGGCGGAGAGACGGGTGTTGTACCGCCCGTAGAGCGGGTTGGCGGCCGCGAGGATGGAGGTGCGCGCGTTGAGAGTGGTGGAAATGCCGGCTTTGGAGATGGAGATGGTTTGCTGCTCCATGACTTCGTGGATGGCGGTGCGGTCGTTGTCGTCCATCTTGTCGAACTCGTCGATGCAGCAGATGCCGTTGTCGGCGAGCACGAGGGCGCCGCCTTCGAGAACCATTTCGTCTGTCACGGGGTCGCGCATCACGGCGGCCGTGAGACCGACGCCCGAGGAACCGCGGCCAGACGTGTACACGCCGCGCGGGGCTACCTTGGAGATGTACTTGAGTAGTTGCGATTTGGCCACACCGGGGTCACCCATCAGACAGATGTTGATGTCGCCGCGGATCTTCATGCCGTCGCCGACTTCCTTGGTGACACCGCCAACCAACAAAAGGAGGAGGGCCTTCTTGACGTCGAGGTGGCCGTAGATTTCGGGGGCGATGGACTTGGCCAGGTACTCGTACGTGTTGCCGGTTTGTTGGAACTTGGCGATACGGCGGAGAAGGGAGGGGTCGATTTGCATCTCGGTGTAGGCCTTCTTGTGCTGGACAATGTGGTGGGCCTCGAGGTAGGTGTCGGTCAAAAGACCGGCGCGCATGGCCTTGAAGCCGGTATAGGGAGTGGGGAGGAAGATTCCCGAGATGTCGACAATGTCACCGGGGTGGACATTTCTGACCAGACTGCCGTACGCAAGCACGGTAAGGGTACGGGGAATCTGACCGATGGGGACCTGCTCGGCGAGTTCCTGGATCTTGATCTCCTGGAAGGGCAGGAACTTGGAAGCCCGCGACGACGGGTACAGCTGACCCTTGGCCTGGTTCTCCTTGCAGTCCTTAGATGGGCAGAGAGTCAGGGGGGCGTACTGCTTGTCGGTGACGGGCTGGAAGATTTCGCAACCGCAGCGGTCGCACGTGTAGGCGCCCACCTGGACAATGGGCTTGACGTCGGACACACGGGTAGCAATACCGCGAATGGTGATGAGGTGGCCGAGGTGGTCGCCGCGCACTTGGCGGACCGATAGGGCTTTTTGAGGCCCGTCAGCGGTCATGGTCCGGGGCTTGAAGACGAGGGTGTAGCGGCGGGTGAGCTGGGCGGGGTATGTGTCGTTGAGCATGTCGGGGTCGCGCAGGTTCTCGGCGGCCTCGGTGAGGGTGCGGTTGCGCTGTTGGCGATTGGCCATGAGGACGTCGAGCACATCGTCCTTGAATGTGATGTCGTTGCTGGGCTGGGGCATCAGCTTGTCGACGGCGCGCGAGAGCACCTCGACGTAGTGCTTGGTGTTGCGCTCTACCGACTCGACGAGCTTGAGGCCCTCGTTGACATCCTCCTCCCATGACTGCAGGTCGTCCAGGTCGATGACTATCTCGTTAATCTTGCGGTCGGCCAGTTCCTGGAGAAGCTCCTTGTACTTGTGGCGGGGAGCGCGTCTCCTCGCTCTTTCGGAGCGGCGCTGTTCCTGGGCATCGTCGTCGTCCTCGTCCATAAAGTCATACTCGTCGCTGAGGTCGTCCTCGTTGATGTCGATGTTGCCAAGCGCATGGGTGATGGAGTCTTGGGGCGAGGTCTTGAAGTCGTCGAGAAAGTTTTCAAACGCAGCTGTTGTTCGTATCGTTGTAGTTAGCTCCCAGCCTGCCTCTTGCGATCCATCCTCCACGCTTCGAGATGCCACCATCAAACTTTTCCCTCGTCGTCGGCTTGGAGTTGTCATATTCATCACCTACACATTTGCGCGTCGTAGTCGACGGGGGCGGGGTATCTGAGGAGCGCCATGGTGAGAGATGTGGTGGGTGGGATATGGCGCAACTTGCTGTGTAGTCAAAGGTCTGGGGATTGTTGTTTTGGTTGTTGCGATGGGGAATTCGACTTTGTTTTTGTTGGATGAATGTCAACATTGATTGAATGGAGAAGCATGAAAGAGTGGGTCCTCTGACCATTCAGTTGACTGTCGCGGTTTGAGTCGCGATGAGACGCGGTCCAGCAAAGGAATCTTTAATGGGCTAAGGTACTTACAGGCATCCCTAGACACTGGAGAATGCCCCTGGCAGGTGGCAGTGAGTGGCAGGAATGAGTTATACAGGAGGCGTGTCAGTGTTGTTCGAGAACTTGATTCTCGACTTGAGCATAAGAGTGTGAAGTGAACACATCATCTGACACCGTTGAGTTACTTGTAAAAGGTCATACTCCAAGTACGACGCTGTTCATCATCAAATCATCTTTATTCCGTGAAATTCTGCTTGTTCTATCGTTACAACTCTGGATATCTTGTTCCTTCAAGATGACGGCTTCCTTAATGCTCATGTATTCCCCTAACAATTCCATGCGGCTGTACCTGCGCTGGGACATGCCCGAAACCCCCTGTACCAGGTCCTGGCGTGCCTCGGCACATGCAAACTGGGGACAGTTGGAGAAGCTCCAATCGGGCTCCAGCCGCGGCTCCAGGTCTCCCCAATCAGCTGAAAACAACACCAATCATGCCCCTGGATCTCCGCCCAAGACAGCGAGACAGAAGAACAGAACCCGGGGATGGGGCGGATTCCCGATTCCCGTTCGGTGTGTAATTGTTAGGTCGACTCAGCCAAGCTAGTAACCGGCTTAGGTACGGTCAGGACTCTTTCATCTGTCATCTCATCATCGCCTATGCCAAACACCACGACGACAGCATCACCACCACCACCATAACAAGTAGTCGACACCGACGACGACGACAACAGCAGCCACCCACCATGGCTCCCAGAAAGAACGCGCAGTCTACCGCTGCCGAAATCTCCCTGGTCCATCTCCAAAACTGCTTCGTCAACCTGCCACCGTCACTGGCCTCCCTTCTCTCCAATGTCAACACGGTAAGACACCCAGTCATAGAGTGGAAGAAGATGACCATCGTACTCTAGCTGACACAAAGCCACCCTCATGGATAGCCCGCCCAGAATGTCATCGTCGAGCTCAACTACCGCGTCCAGTCGACCCCTGACGCCATCGCTTCAGGCGCCCCCGCCTCGGTCAACAAAAACATCTTTGTAGGCTGGACCGGCATGCCCAGCAAGCGCAAGGTCAACCCCATGGTCGGGAGTCACGGCATCGACAGGACACGCTCGACTTCCTCCCGCGACCAGGAAATCCCCCTCGTCGAGATCGACACCACCCTGGCCGGCACCCTGGGCCTCAAGGAAGGACAAAAGGTCATGGCCACAGTACACTTCGACCCGCCCATGGCCACCACCGTCAACATCGAGCCCCTTACACCCGACGACTGGGAGATGATTGAGCTCCACGGCACCTTCCTCGAAGACAACCTCCTATTCCAAGTCCGCGCCATCCCCAACCCCGTCTACGCTCCCGGCGGCGTCCCCTCAATACCCCATCCCCTCACCCTACACTTGTCGCAAACGTCAAAGGCCAACATCAAGGTCATCTCCATCGATCCGCCTCTACCCCCAGACGCCCCATGCGCCAAGATCGCCCCCGACGCCGAGATCATCGTGGCCCCCAAGGTCCGCTCCAAGACACGCAACAGCAAGGATAACAGGAGTGTGGGTGGAAACTCCAAAAAGAGCGGCAAGAGTTCGGCAAGCACAAGCAGGAGAAAGAAGGAGGACAAGAAGCCGCCCGTGTTTATGAGGGGTATCGACCGGAAGCATCTCCAGGAATGGTTCGACGACGAGAAGCCGACCGACGATCTGAGCGTATGGGTTGACCGCGATTTGTTGACAACCGGAGACTTGAAGGGCGCCAAGCACGTATCTGTTACTGTGGTGCGCCCAGCTGGCCTACAACCGACCACCGATGCCCCTGTTCAGCCAGAACAGGTCGATCCGGCTTCGGCACCATCAACCAAAATCGTGGCTCACCTCCGCGGATGGGATGACCCACCTGATGGACAAGTAGCTGCTCTTTCGTCGCCTCTGGCTGCGGCACTGGGAAGCCAGGGTATGGTGGGCGGAGTGGTCAAGCTTGAGGTGGCTTCGTCTCCCTTAGGCAAGAAGAGCGTGGACAAGGACGGTGTTTCGCGTGCTTCGCTCACAAAAATCAACATCTATCCGTTTGCTTCACCCAAGACTGTGGCTTCTGCTGGTTTAAAGTTTGGTGGTCAGTCCAAGGCGGAAAAGGAGGAAGCGGCTAAGCAGGTCAACCACATCTACGGACCTGAAGGCAATGGGTTACTGTCTGGACCTATCACAGATGGTCAAGTGCTGGCGCTCTATGATGGGCTTGACTGCCCCCGTGGCTGGGAGGGCGGTATCATCAAGTTTGAGCCTGCGCCTGTCACTCAGGCATCTGGAAAGAAGCCTTTGAGCTGGGTTATGGGGTCTGACTGGAAGGTTCCTATTTCTGTTCAGGCGCCTATCGGCAAGCCAGCGTGGTTGACAGAGGGCGAAGGTAACTTGGCTCTTGAGACCTCTGACTCGTTGCTTGTGGGCATTGATTCGTTACTTGAAAAGTTGCAGTTGCACTTGACCCATATGTCATCAGTACTTCTTACTGGCGGCCAGGGTTCCGGCAAGACATCTGTGGCACAGTCCGTTGCCCGTACCTTGCGGTCAACCCAGCTATATCACACTACCTACTTCCCGTGCACAAAACTTGTCAATGATGAGAGCCGGATATCCAACATCAAGGAGACTCTTAATCACCTCTTCATGGCAGCGAGCTGGGGCGCCAGACTGGGCGGCAAGGCTGTTGTTGTTCTGGATGATCTCGATAAGCTTTGCCCTTCGGAACAAGAATTGCAAGTCGGAAACGACAATGCCCGGAGCAGGCAAATCAGTGAAGCGATCTGCTCCATGGTCAAGCAATACTGCGGAAGAGACAGCAACGTCGTTTTGCTTGCCACCTGCCAGGGCAAGGACTCACTTCACAACGTCATAGTCGGCGGCCACGTCGCCCGTGAAATCGTTGACCTGAGTGCTCCTGACAAGGAAACCAGACGCCGCATCATGGAAGCCCTTACCAAGAAGGACGCCGTGCCGGCAGAAAAAACCACTGGCGAAATTGCCGACGGAGATCTCGACAGTCGCCCGCCCACCCGCGACGGCAGCACCACCGGTGGCGAAGACGGCGACGGCTGGATGGAAGGCTCTAACCATTTTCCGCCCAAGAAGGCCTCCAAAAAGTCCAGCGGCTTTGTCCTTGACGCCGACCTCGACTTCCTCGACATCGCCGGCCAAACCGACGGCTACATGCCCGGCGATCTCATTCTCCTCATCTCTCGCGCCCGCAACGAAGCCCTCAGCCGGTGCGTAGGTGAAGCTCTCGACAAGGACGTCTCCACCATCCACCTCGCGCGCGCCGATTTTGACGCCGCCATCTCCGGCTTCACACCAGCCTCCCTGCGCAACGTCACCCTCCAAAGCTCATCCACTACCTTTGCCTCCATCGGCGGCCTCCAGGAAACACGACAGATCCTCCTCGAAACCCTCGAATACCCCACCAGATACGCGCCCATCTTCGCCCAGTGTCCTCTGCGCTTACGTTCCGGTCTGCTCCTGTACGGCTACCCAGGCTGCGGCAAGACTCTCCTGGCTTCCGCCGTCGCCGGCGAATGCGGCCTCAACTTCATCTCCGTCAAGGGTCCCGAGATTCTCAACAAATACATCGGTGCCTCGGAGAAATCCGTGCGCGACCTCTTTGAGCGCGCTTCGGCCGCCAAGCCATGCGTTTTGTTTTTCGACGAGTTCGACTCCATCGCTCCCAAGCGTGGCCACGATTCCACGGGCGTTACCGATCGCGTGGTCAACCAGCTTTTGACGCAGATGGACGGTGCCGAAGGATTGTCGGGTGTTTACGTGCTAGCAGCTACTTCGCGACCAGACCTGATTGATCCTGCGCTGTTACGTCCCGGCCGTTTGGACAAGTCTTTACTGTGCGACTTTCCTAACTTGGAGGATAGGCTGGACATCATCAAGGCTCTTACGCACAAGGTGCGCGTGGCAGAGGAAGTCTGGTCCTCGGAAAAAGATCTGCTGGAACTAGGGAAGCGCACAGACGGGTTCACTGGTGCGGATCTGCAGGCGTTGGTGTCGAATGCGCAGTTGGAAGCTATTCATGATGCTCTGGCTGATATGGGCACGGGTATGGTTTCGCATGCTCGTCGGGGCGTGGAGACCAAGTCATCGGGGAGGAACGACTTTGTGCAGTTCCGCTACGGCGACGACGTTGACGGCACTGTGGCAAAGAACACCTCCGCGCCTAGAACCAGAGCCGCAGAGTTGGCGGAGAAAGCGGCCATTAGTGCTAAATTGGAAACACTCAAGATGATGCAGAAGAAGGCGGCTAGACAGGCTGCTGCTTCTAATCAGATGAATGGAACTGATGGAAACAAGGCAGTTAATGGTAAGGCTGGTAGTGGAAAGGAAGATACTGGTCAACAGGTGGTGGTGAATTGGAAACATTTGTACAAGGCGCTGGATGCTACGAGGGCGTCCATCAGTGTGAAGGAGAGGAAGAGGTTGGAGAGGATTTATCATGAGTTTGTGGTGGGCAGGAGCGGGGAGATGAGGGATGGGCAGGCGAGTAATGAGATTGGGGGGAGGAGTAGTTTGATGTAGGGGAGGGATTGAAAGGAGTGGTCAAAAGTCGTATTGGACTTTTGGTTAGAAGAAAGTGTGTAATATATAGATCTAGAATAGCAGTCGAAGATATAAAGTAATAAGGGTTAATTAGTTGAGATGAGTTGAGTTGTGGTTTTTGGTTGCCTGGCTGGCGAGGGGGTGTCCGATAGCCGCCGGTTTGTTTACTTTGGGACTTTGGAAATTCAGGGGCTCACCTCACAACCCCGCAGCCGGCTCTCGGGGACAGCCGTCAGCGGCTATCAGCGTTTGTCAGCATACGTTTCAGTGGATACGACGGACGGCTGACGGCTGCCTAGTAGAGTTGCTCAGCGGCGTCCCAGGTTACTTAGGTCAGTTCCGGAAGGCTACCGTGGCAGCCGGACCACGATCCCCTGTCTGGGCCTATCTGTGACTGCAACGGCTATCAGATGGTTCAGCGCGTGGGGGGGATGCAATGAAACGTTCGACTTACTCAGCCCTAGTTTTAACTTTCTCGCTCTTCTGGATAAAAACATCTTACGAGACTGATATATGTAAGTTACTCACGTCCTTCACCTTCCCTTTCACATAAAAATCTAACTGACATTTTTGGAACAGATCAAGGCCAGTTCGCTGGTTATCACTCACCCACTCACTCACCAACACCGCCACGACGATTACTGGGAGAGTAAATTGTCAAGATGACAGTCAAACCCATCACCACCCCCCTCGGGCACTCCCTCCCTCCTCATACTCCGCACGCCCTCACTGTCCACCTCCCCGGGTGGGACACCTTCATCCGGCTTCGCGATGGTGACCAGGAAATAGGCAAGCAGCTTAGGAGCATGTATCCGCGGTTTTCACCCCTTTCGTGTGTTAAGGAGGTTCGTTTGCCCCTTTTTTCCCCTTTCTTCTTTTGTGCCTCTCTTTTTCGTTCGCCCCCCTCCCCTTGTCCCTCTCTTCCCTGTATCACTCTCTTTCACTTCCCTTTGTCCTTAGGTTCTCAGTATACTTCGGGAAGGTAGCTAACAGGAAAACAGCTCGGCATCAGACTCCTCACCCACCTCTCTTTTGCGTATCCAGAATCAGGCATCTCCCCCACCACCCACGGTTGTCTCCCTTTTACCACCCCCGACGCTTTTTCCCTAGCCGCAGCGCACTGCATTTCGCACCATCGGGCGGATGAACATCGGTATAGTGATAGCGATGTTTCGAAAGTGGTGTTTCGGGTTGTTGAGTTTTGGGGGGTGCCTCTCGTACCTAATTCTGCCGCCGATGTGACTGCGACTGCGAATGGAACCAAGACTGCGACTGCCACGGACAAGGTGAGGCTGTATCTGGTCATCTACCCACTACCCAAAGCAAAAGGGATCATGGGCGTCTGGACCAATCCCGGTATAGGCATTTCTACTCGTCTTGCTGAGGTTCTTTTGCCTTTGGTTCCTTCCTCCTGCTCCTCCGATGGCGATGGTTCCATGTCCTCGCCCGAGGGCGAGGCCGAGCAAGGTGAAGGTGAAGGTGAAGGTGCATGCGGTAGAGGTATGAAGGTGTTGGAGTGGACCGCCACGGGATCAGATTTCATTTCCGGCACTCCCATTAAGGAAGACATACCCGAACCAACATACCTCCCCGAAAGCGACGCACACGAAAAACTACGTGAACGAATCGTGGCTCTCTGTCAGCGTATCCCCCGCGACGTCGAGCTTGCCTCCCGATTAACGACCAAAGACGTGTTCTTGTACACAACAGGTATGGCGGCTGTTTTTCGTCTGCAGGAGGCCTTGTTCAAAGCTGCTGGACGGAGAGGACCGGTGGTGGCGCTGGGAGCGGTGTTTCATTCTACGTTTCATTTGTTTGAGGAACTTGAGGGGACCACTACCACCAAAGGAGAAGAAGAAGAGGTGGAAGGGTTCAAGCACTTTGGGGAATGTGAGGATTCGGAAAAGGTGATGGATCAGTTGGAGGAATATGCAAAGGGGCTGAAGCAAAAGGGAAGGAAGGTGGGGTACGTGTTTGTGGAGTTTCCTAGTAATCCGCTTTTGGTGAGCGTGGATTTGGGGAGGTTGAGGAAGATCGCTGATGATTATGACTTCCCGGTTGTTGTGGACGACACGGTCGGGTCGTTTTGCAATCTCGATGTGTTGCCGGTGGCGGACGTGGTGGTTTCGTCTTTGACGAAGACGTTTAGTGGGTATGCCGATGTAAGTCAATTCCTCTTGCTAGATTACTCCTTTTTGGGTGTTGTCTTTCCTTTGATTTGTTGTTTCCCCATTCCCCTGCTTTGCCATCCCTCTATGTATCTCAACAGGAACCTCTTTCCTCTCCCATCTTCTCGCTTTTCGAAGAATGCATACTAACTACCTATCAACAAAGGTAATGGCCGGCTCAGTCCTCCTCTCCCCCTCTTCGCGCTACTACTCCCTCCTCTCCTCCACCCTCACCACCACGCACCACAACGCCCTCTCCCCACCCGACGCCGCCCACCTCCTGTCCAACTCCTCCTCCTACCTCGCCCGATCCAAAACGCACAACCTCAACGCCCAAAAGCTCGCCTCCCTCCTACACGCTTATTCCACCACCCACCAATCGCCCCGCGTCATCTCCCGCGTTCTCTACCCCTCCATTCCCTCCACCACGTCCTCCACCACAGGCACCGCTTACTACCAGCAATACATGCGCTCCGGTACCGCCCCTGCGCCCACTGGCCCGCCCTACGACGAAATGGAGGGCAACGACTCCTTCACCCCCGGCTTCGGATGTTTGCTGTCCATCGATTTTCCCTCAAAGAGAGTGGCAAAGGCGTTTTACGACCATTTGCATGTCCACCAAGGTCCCCATCTTGGCGCGCATCTGACAATCACCTTGCCTTTCAACGATTTGCTGTGGGGTGCGGAGGAGAGAGAGAGAAAGTATCATGCGGGGTATGGAGCGGTGCCGGAGCAGGTCAGGGTGAGTGTTGGGTTGGAGGAGTGGGAAGAGCTGAGAGAGGTGTTTGAGGAGGCTTTGAAGTATGCTGAGGAGGAGGCTGTGAAGGAGGCTGCCTGCTGAGGAGGAGGGAAAGGCGTAAGGAAGGGGGGAGGAAGGAGTAAGAAGGGGTAAGGGTGGTAGATCCTCCACGCTCAACGCCAGACATTGGCTGTATGAAGCTCAACTCAACTCTTTGACAACAGATAATCCATACATCAAACCACATCCTAAAATCTACGAGTACACAACTCTACTCATCCTCAGACGGCCTGCCCTTCATGACCTTGGCCATATCCTCATTTACCATACTAAACGCACCGCTTCGTTCCCAAATCGGCGGCAATTCAAGCAACGAATCACCGCTGAAACTCCTCTGCACCGCCGACCCACAAAAATTCTCCAGCAGCATATTATTCTCCCGAGAAAACCGTGACTTAAACCGCTCCCTTCGCTCCCGTCTAGCTTGTTTCCGAGCCTTTGTCTTCTGTGACACAGACCCACAGACGGAAGAGGGACGCAGCAGCAGCGCTTCGGCCTCGATTCTTTCAATAACCTTTACGAGCGCCTCATGATGCAACGCGTCGAGGATCCCGTCTCTTCGCCACGGCGGCCTATCCCGCTGGTAAAACACGGCGTCCGCTTTCCGCCACCATCCCGCTATTTCGTCTGCCAGCGTATGGGCTAGCACGCTGCAGCGCGGTAGCCACTGCAGCTTGAGTTCGCACCCGCGCTCGAAAAGGAAGTGCGATTGCCAGACGATGGCGCGCACAAGCGGCATTGTGAGTGCGTCGGTTGTGGTTATGGCGAATTCTCCGTCTGGATGGGGACGTCTAGACAGCCGATTCATGGCAGTCTTGCTATCGGAGAAGATGGTGACGGAGGCGGAAAGGGGGTGATGTCTCTTGAGTAAACTGATGACGGTTTCCATGCCTTGCGAGATAGCGGCCAGCTCGGCGTGGAGACTGGACAGGACGCGATGGGAGTGCCAGGAACGGATGTTGAAGTCTTTTGTACTCAAATTATCTTCCACTTGGGTCCCTTCGGTGAAGTAGTCATTGGCGTGGTTACCATGATCAAACTCCGCGGGCCCCTTTCCATGATACGGGTTCCGAAAGACGACGCCGTACCCGCCATGACCAAATCGCCGGTGTTCCGGCGCTCCCCTGTTTTCGTGGTGTGGTTTGTAGGACCCGTCGACGAACAGGTTGAACTGTGGCTTACCGTCTACCATCAACTCGGCTCCTTGCGCTTCGCTGGCTAGCCGAGTGGCTAGCCCCTGACTTTTTCTCGGGTAAATGAATTCGCCTTTGAAGGCGCGGGTTTCGTTCTGCCACAGAGGGATCCGGAGGTCGCCGCTGGGCTCGGGAGATCCATCCGCTCGCGGGCGGGCTGTCGTCGCGGGGAGGTCGGCGGGCGCCTGGTAGGGAGGCAAGAAAGGATTGAAAGGGGTTGGGGGAAGGGGGTGACAATGCATCGGGGGCTGCTCTGTCTGTCTCGTGCTTGCGATGTCATTTTGCGAGGTGTCTGCCGCAAGCTCAAAGGCATATTCTAGAGCTCCGAAGCCCTCGACGTCAACCTTCAACCGCTTCGGGAGTCTCTCGGTCATCTTGTATGCCGGGATGAACACAAGGCACAAAAGGCAAGACTGAGGAAACCGAACTGAATGTTAGCGGACGAAAGAAGGCAGTGAAACAGGGATGGATGGGAGCAAGAAAGATTTCCCTGCGAGTTCTTTCCAGCCTACCCCTCTTCCTGGAGCAAATACGGGAAGAAATCAAGCTCACCTTGGTAAAACAACGCGATACTTCAGTGATTATCGACGTAGTACGCAAACAGCAATGGCGACTAGAGAAGCGATGGAAAAGGAGACTGGACGACAAGTTTTGGTGAGATCAGTGTAGCAGAACGACAAGCTCGGGGAGATCGCAAGAAAGATAAAGTCGACGCGTGACAGTCAGCCAGCTAGACGCGCAAAGGAAACCACAAAAGGTAAGGCAAAAACTGCGGTAAGAAAATTTCACACGGGAGGGAGGGGGTTGCTAGGAGGGACGTGAGATGGAACGGACGGCTTGCTGCCTGGTGCGAACCCAAAACTTGAGAGCCAAAAGAGTCAAACGAGCACTACTTGAGACAAGATCTCACGATAGTTGGGATGTATCAGTTGAGCAACTCGAATCTGTCGCTAGGGATCATATCACCACCAACAACCGATTTTATATGGCCTACAACGGGGCGGATAACATGAAAAATAGCTAAGATGGGCAAAGGGAAGCATTGTTCACCGCCCGGGTGAGCAATGTAAAATTAAGCGAAGTGTGATAGATGATAGCTACTACTACCTACACATAAGGAAGAATAAGATATCTGAAACGACAATGAGAAGAGGCATGAAGGTACCTAATATCACTACTAGCTTTGGACTTAGTTATGATCAGGAGATAGAATCAGACCAGACCATCAGCCGTTCAACTTTCCAGTCAACCAATTGTAATAACCTCCGACATATCGTGTTCACCTTCAACGAGTCAGCAGCGTATCTCTAGCAGGCAGGCACGAAGCCACCCAGCACCCACCACCTCCTCCCACTTCCATACAAGACCAGCCTCAGCACCCAACGGTAAGGCGTACCTTCCATCTAAACGCCCACCTACCTACATTCCTTCATAAGGGTCCCTCTCCCCACCCCCTTCTGTCACCCCCAGCTGAGCACAACATGGTCCTGTGGTGTAGCAGTAGCACATGCACGATTAGGCGGAGCTTAAGCGTGGCAAGGCAAGGCAGTAAGACTGAAAGGCAGGTTCCGGTTCGACTCCGGGCTGTGGCCATTCTCAGCATCTTTTTTTTGGTATTTTTGTCAATTTTTCAAGCATACGATCAATGCATCATCCATCTACAATACATCACAGTCCACATTACAAGTTTACTTACTTTATTTAGAGTTATGTGTGCTCTCATGTTCACATGAACCGATGATAATGTCAATAACAGCTGTGATGAGGATCGCGGAGTGACTTGGTTTCCAGCCGTCCACTCCTGACCTTACGTAGATTTGGTTTGGGTAGGGACTTATACACCGATGTTGGTGTGTTTGCTACGAGTTATGGAGCCTAGAATTGTCCTTCAAGCTGAAACATTTCAAGAATGAAACAAAACATTATAGGCTGCTATATCCGTGTATCACCGCTGGGTGATAGAGACCTGCCGTTACGGCGTTGAGCTTTTGACGGTTTGATTACCTAGAGATAAGGTGGGAGTTGTCACATTCCTTTGTCACCTACTGCTCACTCGATCATGCGACCAAGCGGCTCCGGTGAATTGTTCCGGAAGTGCGTGTTGGATGCGTTGGCCATACGGCAGTAGGCCAAGATTTGTCCGCAAGAGGGCAAGCAGCGCTCCCATTCCCCATGTTCGCCCTCCAGGTTGTAAAGACGAAGACACTTCGCGCCCGGCGAGCTTCATCTTTTTTTGATAACAGGCAGCTCAGCATAAAACGCTTTATTGCCTCTGTATGTGGCTTTTGCATTTGCCGCAGAAGGCGGAGAACTCGCGCTCGACCTCTTCGAGGAGTTCTTGGGCATCGCCTCCGTACCGGCGTGCCAACACGACCAGATCAGCGTGGGGAATCTTTCCAGGAATGTGACGGAGAAACCGGGGAATCAGAAAAGAGAATTTCATCACGCTCATTTGGTACCGTCTTTTGACGAGCTACAGAGGGAGTGGAGAGAACAGTGTCTGTCTTTTTGACGCTTTCGATGGATATATCGAGAGTACAAAAGGCGTTCTGGACGGCTTCCCGGTGCGTCAATGGGGAGTGTCGCTTGCTGGCTCTCGGAACCAACAGTCTGGGTGCCTGGTATCATCCTCGAGCTTGGGACACTTTTCTTGATGATCGCGGATGTCGGCCGAAAAGCTCAGCCTCGAGGGTCTTTTTTTGGGTGGCTATGCTGGGGATCTGGTGCTTGTATGGGCTGGAGGTCTAAACGGAAGGATACAACCACCGTCAGCATTATGATCCGGGCAAGAGAGCTAAACTTGGAGAGAGCGAACGTTGTGGCTCCCACAGCGTCTTACTACCTATAGTTTCGATCGCGGGCAAAGATATCGATATACCCCTTCAGCGCGCGCGAATTGCTTGACGCGCGGACAAGCGATCTGACAGGCGAAGAGAAGCAAATGTTGTGGAATAGACGAGCAACAATGGTAACGGAAGCGCAAGTCAGGAGTCGAGAGATAAGGCGAGGCGCGACTGAGAAGAGAGAGGGGGACAAAGGAGGGGAGCAGGAGAAAGATACGACCGACCGCCATGACTACACAGAGATACAGCTGGGAATCTTGGGCCACGTCATTAACGAAGAAAATATATATAAAAGGAAGGAGTGAGGTAAGTGATCTGCCTGTGTTGGGGTGACGACAGCATGGAGTAAGCTAGCTCTCAGTTGGAAGGTACACCCGCTCGAGACCTCTCACCACTACAGTATCCACCAAACATCACAACGCGGAGTCACAGTCTTCAAGCATCTCTCCATCTTTGTAGTCAACACCACGAGGGAAAAAAATCATGAAGCACACCACAAGCCCAGTGACAGTACAAAGGAAAACAGATAGATTATCTCTCGCAAGGAACTGGAAAGTGGCATGGGCAAAAAACGGAAGGGTGAAAAAAGAATATAAAAATAATTGCCGATAAACTCAATCGCCACCTCTCGGGGTCGAACCTGAGGCCTGCCGTCCCGCCCTATTTCCGGCCTTACCTGAGCTTAGGAGCAGACGTCAAAGGCTGTGCTACCACTACACCACGGGACCACTGAGTTTACCAGTTAGCGGGGGTTGTCCGAAACAGGTACGGAAGGGGTGCTTATATAGAGCTACTTGTGGCAGGCCAAGCAGAGGTAAGTATATCACCAACAAGGTGAACAGAAAAGGACAATGTAATAATGTCGATAACAACAAGAAGAGGAGTACCTCGAGATAACGAGATTAAGGCTGAGTAGAATCTCGGTATCAAACTCTTGGCGCGAAGATGGTGAAGGTGGGGATAAGCGGCTACTATGATCTGCCGGACAGGTACGATACTGAAGGCGTTTTGCATACAAAGGGAGACGGCAGTTGACGTAGCCTTCAATGAGTCTAGGATGAAAATCATACCATCTGACGCGAAAGAGTTATCGAAGAGTGACCGAGGAGGGTCCGGGCTGAAGTTTGGCTCTTGTTGCTCGGCAGGTGAAGACTCATGCAACCGGTGCTTTCAGGAATGTTTTGCTTATTCGGAAGTCCATGTGCTTCCTCTTCAGTTTATATTTGTATGTTCCGGTCGTTGTACTACTGTATACTATGGTCCTTTATACCTGTCTCTACCAGCATCGTTCATGTTCTAACCTATAAGTCCACACCACATCCGACTCAACCCAGATACAAGTCTACACCTTATAACTACAACTGCTCAACCAACCCCACCAACTGCTCCAACTTCTCCTCTTGATCACCAGGGGCACTTCCCCCATACAACACACCCCCTACCAACGCCATCGCCCCCTTGACCCTCTTGGCCCTCACCTCCTCCTCCAACTCCCTCGATTTCCTCGCAGCAACCTCCAACACCTTCCTCGGTATCCTCGCCAGTCTCGCAACATTTAATCCATACGACCTATGCGCCACGCCCGGCGCCAAATCATACAAAAACGTAATCTCCTCATCCTCATCTTTATCCGCCCCTGCACCTTCTTGCACATCCCCATCCCCATCAACCTCCATCGCATCATCATCCATCGATATCTTAGACTTATTACTCGCAAACCGCATATGCACACACTCCACTCCCCTTTTTTTCTCCTCTCCCTCTCCTACAGTCAAACCCTCCGCCACCCCCGCCAAATCCTGATAATGCGTAACGAACAGCATCAAGCACCCCACGTCCCTAACCACATACTCCAACACCGCACCAGCGATCGCCCGTCCATCATGCGTGGACGTGCCGCGGCCTAGCTCGTCAAGCACCACCAAGCTGCGCGGCGTGGCTTGGCGCAGAATGGCAGCCGTCTCGGAGACTTCGACCATGAATGTCGATTCGCCTTTAAACAAATTATCGCGGGCGCCCATGCGGGTGAAGATGGCGTCGGAGAGGGTCAGGGCCATGGAAGTGGCGGGCACGAAGGAGCCGATTTGGGCGAGTAAGACCAAAAGCGCGACGGCGCGGGTGTAGGAGGATTTGCCGCCCATGTTGGGGCCGGTGATTAGTTGGGCTAGGGCTGGCCTTCCTGAGAGACTGGTAGGGTCAGGGGAAGAGGGGGACGAAGACAAAGTGCCGAGGGACATGGTAAATGGGATGTAACCATTTGGTAGCAGGTGTTCGGCTATGGGATGTCTGCCTTCGGTGATGGATAGGAAAGAAGGATGGGAAGAGGGTAGGAAAGTGGGTTTGGTGTAGCCTGGTAATGCAGCGACTGTGCTTAGTGACAAGAGACAGTCCAAAGTGGATAATGAGGAAACGGCGTCGCGGAGCGGTTGGTATTCCCCTGCTATTTGCGCCAGTAGGTCGGAAAAGGCTTGGTCGCAGGCTGAAGCTAGGGATTCCTTGTGTTGATCTCTTTCGGCTATCAACCTTAGCACTGTAGGCGTGTGAAACCGCGAGACTTTCTTGGTTCCGGAGATCTTGGCCCACGAAGCTGGGACGCGCTTGAGGTCCGTATTGGCTACTTCGATCAGGTACTCGATGCCCGCCACGGTTACGTAGTTGACGGGAACTTTCTTGCCCAGGTCCTTGGCGGCTTCGGAGCGGTGTTCGTCGAGGTCTTGTTCCACAGCTGCGATGCCGAGTTTATGTTCGGAAATGTCCTCGGTCTCGTGCTGTTCGAGGAAGAAGGCATACTTGTCGTCTTTGCGGGCGGCTTCGGCGTTGATTTTGGAGAGGTGGGCAGTGACCATGGGGCTGATGGAAGGCAGGGTCATGATGGCGGATGTGAGCAAAGGGGAGGAGAAGCCCGTGTCGGCAGGAGATTTGACGCGGGCGTATTCGAAGGAGATCTTTTGGAGGGTTTGCAACGTCGAGAGGAGTTCGGGGCGGGTGCATTTGCCGTAGTAGATCCTGATCAAACTGCGCTCGAGGTCGGCCTTGATGGACTTGAGCATGTTGATTAGTTTGTCGACATTGGCTGTGGACTGATTGTTTAGCAATTCTTCGACCGCCGAGACGCGCTCTTCTAGGTGTTGCTGGTCGAGGAGAGGGCGGCCAATCCATTTGCGGAGAAGACGCTGGCCGAAGCGGGTATGGGTTTTGTCCAGGGCCCAAAGCAGAGAGCCCTTCTCGGAGTGGTCGGTGGCGTTACGGTAGACTTCGAGAGACTCGAGGGTGGTGCCGTTGATGAGCATGTGTTGGCGTGTGCTGAATGATTGAAAATACTTGGTCAAGTCAAAGATGTGTTGCAGGCCGTACTCGGTCAGGTGGGTGATCATGGCCGAGAGACAAATCATGACGGCTTCTGGAAGCTTGAGCACCTTGTTGAGCAAAGCTGCTGAGCGTTCATCGCTGTCCTTGGCCTTGCCGGCGTAGAAATCGGTAACGTGCGAGTAGGCCTCGGCTGCCATGGTCTTGCTCTTGGGAACCCTTTCGACACGACTCTTGTCACCAAAGACATTGGTGCTGCTGCCGGAAAGGTGTTGGATGAGTTTATCAGTGGCTTTGCTGAGGTCGCCGACGATGAGAAACTCGCAGGGAGAAATATGAAGCAGTCGGGTCTCGATCTCCCGCCGCATGAAGCCGTCCTCGAACTCGTCGTAGATGATGTCTCCTGTAGCGGGTTGGACGGCAATGATACCGACATTGACCTTTTCGTCAGTCCCCATGCCCTTGGCCGGGGTTTCCGTCAGACAAAGCAGGTAACCACCAGAGGAAGCACCCGTGGTCTCGCCTGGCTGGTCCAGCTCGCCCGTCTCATCGATATAGGTGCCCTTGGTATAGACATTGGTGAGCTTCCGGACAAAGGGGGCGTTGCGGTTATCGCCAGCCTTTTTCAAGGCGGCCGTCTCGATCTGCCGAACTACTCCGACCTTGTACCCGGCAGCAACAAGACGCTTAGCATGGACAGGCAGACGGTGGACGGGTATGCTGGCGGACGCAAAACGGTCGAGGTGGGCTTCGGAAGGGTGTTCGTCGTATCGGAACTTGCCCGGTATACACACGATGCTCAGTTCTCTGGCCGCGATGCGGGCGTCTTCGCCAAAGAAGCGGAACTTGTACCCGACCTCGACGATCAAGAGTGTATCCATGTGTTTCCGTTTGATTTCGAGGAACTGCAGCTCCATGGGAGTGAGTTTGCCCGTTTTGGCGCCCTTCTTTTTGGCCGTGGTCTTGGGTGCTGGTTCCTCTTCGTCATCTTCGCCCTCCTCGCCTTCGCCCTCAACGGCAGCGGACTCGGTGTCTCGTTGCCTGTAGCTGAACATGCTGTCGGGGTGACCAAGCTTCTTGACAAACTTTCGGTGGAGTTCTTCCTTCTTTTTGCGTTCGGCGGCATCTTCTTGCTTCTCTCCCTCATCTTGGGAGGGCCGGCTCGAGTCAAGAGCGTACCGTTCTGTTCGGGAGGAGGCAGACAGCTTTAGGGAGGCGACAGCGTCTTCGGTGTCTGTTGTTGCTGATGGGCCATTCGACCTGCGCCGTTTTGCATTTCTGGGAGCCTCATCTTCGCTGTCGTCGGTTTGGGGTTCGGGTCGTTTCCTCGAGGATGTCGACTTGGATGATTTGGACTCGGCTGGTGGCGGCTTCTTGGAGGCGTTTTGGCTGAGGTTGACCAAGGGACTGGTGTTTCGTGGGGTGAAGAAGCTCGAGATGGAGGCTTGTTTCTTGTCGGGGGGTCGTGATGGGCCAGCCATTTTTTGTGAATTGGTGGTTGAATCAGTGTCACCCCAAGTCCATATCTCGGTGGTCAAATCAATATCAGATGGACGCGGTCATCATCGACGCGCATTTGTCGCAGTGGACGCGGCCGAGAGTGGGGCTCCATTACAGTGGCTGCAGCGTCTTCACATGATTTCCTAGACAGTGACATGCTGGACCCTAACCCTGGGACAGTAGCCATAACAAGAGAAGAGATGTCTCAGTTGTCCATCAACAGCATCACTGACTCCCTTATTTCCACCAGCAACACTTTCCATAGCATAACATGATCACAGTAAACAATCCATGATTTTCACGATTTGACACATTTCTCGTTGACTCCATGTGCCCCAGAATATGCCACATTCGCGATCATGTGACAGACACCGCAAACCAACCAAGCGAGTAGGTGGTCTGTGCGCCCTCTTCCCTTGTCCCT